GGTAAGACTTTGAAAACCGCACTTTCTTTGACTACGGGGTCTGATTTGCTCCATTTGTCTGTAGAGAATTCTTCACGGTCCTAGGTGGCATCTTTGTAGGGACCATCCCTCTCTGTTGCTAGGTGGAACCTGAAATCTGGTTAAGGCTGGCCAGCGTGGGGGCTGTTTCTTGAGGAGGACACAGGTAGTCCCGGGAATAGATGCCATCTTGGCAGTGTCCCTGGGGAAAGTGGTCTCCCCTTTGGAGATTTGGCTGTTGTATGAGGTGCTGAGTTACTTACTGCAACTTCCCTGGAAGTCTTTGTGATCAGGAGGGTAGGACCTATAGAGGAGGCAGATCAGGAGACTAAGTTGTCTCCACAGCAGTGGTTTGCCCTGCCTAGTCCTTGTGGTGAGATGCAAGGAGCCTTCTTTCTCTATTATGGGAAGCAGTGGCCCAATTGGAAGGCAATTTGCTTTGAGGCCATTTTCACTATTAAAATACCCATAAGGCAGGGAGGAAAACCCCTTTTTAGGCTCTAGGGAAGCAGAGAGGCAGGAGGTAAGGGTCGGGAAAGCTGCCATTCTCTCCTGTCAGTTTTGGATAAACAGAGGATACATGAATTTGGGTGGGAGGAGGCTGTTAAAAATGTCTTCATACAAGGAGGCATGTAATTCCTGCTGGCAGGCATGGCTCTACTCCACACCAAGATGTCATTTTGGTCTGCCTGTCCCACATTGGTCAGGCTTCAGCTGGAAAAGAGAGAATGGTGGAGGGAAGAGGTGGGAGGCTAGAATGTCAGGCAGCAATAGCAGCCAGGGTTTGCTGTCTCATTTGCTTGAGACCTGTATGAAGACTTGAAAAATCCCATGAATGTACTATTGCAGATTCTTATCAAAGCGCCTACGGCTTTATACTTTAAAACTGTTATTAAAAGATGTTGCCCTTTTAAATTCTTCTAATGCCTCTTTATCTGAGGACATGTTTTTATTGCATTTTAGGTTTTGGGGTACATGTGCAGAACAGGCAAGATAGTTGCATAGGTACACACGTGGCAGTGTGTTTTGCTGCCTTCCTCCCCTTCACCCACATTTGGCATTTCTCCCCAGGCTATCCCTCCCCAGCTCCCCCCCTCACTGTCCCTCCCCTATTCCCCCCAAATAGACCCCAGTGTGTAGTACTCCCTTCCCTGTGTCCATGTGTTCTCATTGTTCATCACCCACCTATGAGTGAGAATATGCGGTATTTCATTCTCTGTTCTTGTGTCAGTTTGCTGAGAATGATGTTCTCCAGATTCATCCATGTCCCTACAAAGGACACGAACTCATCATTTTTGAATGCTGCATAATATTCCATGGTGTATATGTGCCACATTTTTCTAGTCCAGTCTATCGATGGGCATTTGGGTTGGTTCCAGGTCTTTGCGATTGTAAACATTTTTAACAGCCTCCTGCAACCCCACATTTATGCACATATATTTTAGGACAGACATTATTTAATCTGATATGCTCATTTGTCACACAAAAGGTGAGTAGCTCAGAAAAAAACCTGCAGCAAGGAGGAGCTCTTGCCTGTAGCAGCCTCAGGACCATTTCTGCTTTGGACTTGGCTGCTTCGAGTTTTTTCAAGTCCTCAAGGCCTTTGTTCTTTAGCTTTCAAGGCTACTAGGATGGATGGTTTACCAGAAAAGGTCCACTTCTTTTACTCTGAACTGACAGGTTGTTAAACTGAATTGCTTGTTTCTGTTCTGAGTGAATGTGTGTGTGTGTGTGTGTGTGTGTGCGCGCGCGCGCATGCACACACCTGTGTTCATGCTTTCAGACCCAGTATTTTTGCAGCTTGGAATTTTAACAAAAGATATGAGATTTTTTTGAGGCAGAAGATAAAAAGGGAAATAAATTAGAGAATTGTCTTAGTCAATTTTATGGTGTGATAACAGAATACCACAGACTGAATAATTTGTCAAGAATACAGATGTATTTATTACTGTTCTGGAGGCTGGGAAGTCCAAGATCAAAGGGTCTGCATCTGGTGAGGGTCTTCTTGCTGCTTCATTCATCCCATGGCAGAAGGCAGAGGGCAGAAGGGCAAAAATGTGCACATGAGAGAGCAAGGGAAGAGGCCTGGACTCACCTTTTGTCAGGAACACACTCCTGAGTCATTGGCATTAATACACAAAGGCAGTGCCTTCATGGCTTAATCACCTCCTAAGAGTCCCAGCTCTTAACACCATGATAGTGCCAATTAAATGTCAGCATGACTTTTGGAGGGGAGATTCCAACCATAGCAAAGATAGAATGTGATGGAAGATTCAGGGAAGAAAAAGAAAGGAGCTAGATTTTATTAAAATTGTGATAACGTACATATAACATAAAAGATACCATCTTAACTATTTTAAGTCCAGTGGAATTAAGTACATTCACAGTGTCGTACAACGTTGTCATTATTATTCCCCTCCAGAACTCTGTTCATCTTGCAAAACTGAAACTCTATATCAATAAAATACCAACTCCCCATTTCAATCTTTCCCTCAGCCCCTGCCTCATGTAAGTGGAATCACACAGTATTTGTCTTTTTATGACTGGATTGTTTCACCTTGCATAGTAATTTCAAGCTTTATACATGTTGTAGAATGTGACAACATTTTCTTCCTTTCTAAGTCTGATTAATATTCCATCACATGCATATACCACATTTTACCCTGAACTAACAGGTTGTTTGACCGAATTACTTACTTGTTTCAGTCCCGTGTGTGTGTGTGTGTGTGTGTGTGTGTGTGTGTGTGTGTGTGTATTTGTGCAGATCCAGTATTTTCGACAGCTTGAGAATATAGAAAAAGATATAAGCTATTTTTTTAGAAGATTGTCTATTTATCTGGCAAAGGGCATTTGGGTTGCTTCCACCTCTTGGCTATTGTGAACAGTGCTACTATGAACATGGGTAAGCAAATACGTCCTTGAGACCCTGCTTTCAATTCTTTTGTACATAGACCTAGATGTAGCTTTGCTGGATAGTATGGCAGGTTTATTTTTAATCTGTGAAGAGTCTTCATAATGTTTTCCATAGGGATTGCACCATTTTACAATCCCATCAACAGTGCATAAGTGTGCCAATTTCTCCACATCTTCATCAACGCTTCTTATTTTATGTTTTAAAAAAAAATAGTAGCCATCCTAACGGGTGTGAGGTCATCTCTTTGTGGTTTTGATTTGCATTTCACTAATGATTAGTGATGTTCAGCATCTTTTCATATGCTCGTTGGCCATTTATATTTCATCTTTGGAGAAATATCTATTCAAATCATTTGGTCATTTTTAAATTAGGTAATTTAATCTCTTATTATTGAATTATAAGAGTTCTTTTTTTGTTTGTTTTATTTTATTTTACTATAAGTTCTGGGATAAATCTGCAGAACATGCAGGTTTATTACATAGGTATATGTGTACCATGGTGGTTTGCTGTTCCATCAACCCATCATCTAGGTTTTAAGCCCCACATGCATTAGGTATTTGTCCTAATGCTCTCACTCCCCTTTCCCCCACCCCCCCAACATTCCCATTGTATGATATTCCCCTCCCCGTGTCCATGTGTTCTTATTGTTCAACTCCCACTTATGAGTGAGAACATGCAGTGTTTGGTTTTCTGTTGTAGGAGTTATTTACATATGCTGTATATTAATTTCTTGTTAGATGTATAACTTTCAAATTTTTCTTCTATGAATTTTATTTTTTTCAGATCTTACATTTAGGGCTTTAATCCATATTGAAATAGTTTTTTATATGGTGTAAGTTAAGGTTCTAATTTCATTTTTTGCAAGTGGAGATTCAGTTTTCCTAATATCATTTGTTGAAAAGACTGCCCTTTTTCCAAAACTATTTCACAGTCTTGTCACTCTTGTGGAAAATAATTTGACCATATGTGCAAAAGTTTACTTCTGGGCTCTCTGTTCTATTCCATTGGTGTATATGTGTCTTTATGTTAGTACCACCTTGATATGGTTTAGCTGTGTCCCCACCCAAATCTCATCTTGAATTGTAGCTCCCATAGTCCCAACATCTGATGGGAGGGCCCTGGTGGGAGATAATTAAATCATGAGAATGGTTTCCCCCATGCTCTTCTCGTGATAGTGAGTAAGTTCTCGGGAAATCTGATGGTTTTATAAGGGTCTTCCCCCTTCGCTTTTCTTTCATTCTTCTCCTTCCTGCTGCCATGTGAAGAAGGACGTGTTTGCTTCCCCTTCCACCATAATGGTAGACTTTCTGAGGCCTCTCCAGCCATGCTGAACTGTGAGTCAGTTAAACCTCTTTCCTTTATAAATTACCCAGTCTTGGGTATGTCTTTATTAGCAGTGTGAAAATGGACTAATACACACCTATTTTGATTACTGTAGCTTTGTAATAAATTTCAATATCAGGAAGTGTGAGACCTCCCAATATTTTTTTTCAACATTATTTTGGCTATTTCGGGTCCCTTGAAATTCCATATGAATTTTAGGATGGATTTTTATATTTTTGTAAAAAAATGTCATTGGAAATTTGATAAGGATTGCACTGAATCTGTAGATCACCCCGGGTAGTATGACACCTTAACAATATTAAGCCTTCCGATCCATGAACACAGGAATGAAAAATTCAGCCATTTGCTTGTCATTTACTCTCTTCATTGTTCTGTCACAATTGTCTCCTGCCCATCAGAATGACAACTCTAGAATTGTGGTGACCAACTGCAACCTCCAGTGCTTGGGCCTCATGTTACCTGAAATTACTCTTGGGAATGTGGCCATAAATCTAGGCCTTGAAATGCACCTTCACAGTTTATCTGTAGGCTGGTTTCTCTGGAATTCTAAATGCCAAAATTTGCTTAAGCAGCTTGCCTTTTTGAACTCTGGTTTGCTGAAGACCAGAATGTTAAATGTCACATTGAAATGGAAAAAAATATCAAGGCCCGTAAGATAGAAGGGCTCTTTGCCGTTCCCATTGTTTATCATGTTCCTTCCTGTTGTGAATGATTTGCTTTTTAGGTATGTCTTCACTGGGATTTATATTTTTGAAGCTTTGATTAAAATATTGGCAAGAGGTTTCATTCTGGATGAGTTTTCTTTCCTTCGAGATCCATGGAACTGGCTGGACTCCCTTGTCATTGGAACAGCGTAAGAATGTTAAAGATGTTTTTAAAGAGACTTGGGGTGGGAAAGAAGCCCCTTTGCTTCCACAGTGCTCTGTGTGGATCCATGTGAGTGGCTGAGTGTGGCGAAGTAGTGACTAGAGCTCTGAATTCTGTGTTGGTGTGCCCTGAACAGCACATGCAGCCAGTTGGCCAGAGGCCTTCACACACAAACCCATTTCTAGGTCAACACTCAAGTTCCTGTTCCTTCAGCCATTTACTCACCAACACTGGCCTATTATGGGCCAGGCTCTATGCGAGATACAGGCGTGTGCCAATGAAAAAAAAAAAAGACATCGTTTTCAATCTTATGAAGTTCACAGTCCAGAGTGGAACAGTGACAATTAATGACCCTTACAATATGGTACAGTGAGTACCAGGATGGGGACCGTACATGTACTGAGCTGTCAGAGGACACAGGAAGAACCAAGCAGTCTCAAAAGTCTTTGGCTACTACAAGGTTACAAAGAGCTTTATTCATGTTTACTTCTGGAAGTTCTATAGTTTTGGCTTTTATGTTTCAGTCCATGGTCCATTTTGAGTTTATCATTATGTTTGGTCTAAGGTGAAGGCTGAGGCTCTTCCTGAAGGGAAGGACACTGATTTGGAATCTGAATGACGTAATGGAGTCAGCAAAAGAAAAAGCAAGAAATGCAATGTCCCATTGCCAGCACAGCAATAGTTAACCTAGTATCATTTCATTTGTACGAGGTATTATGTTGAGCACTTTGCATATTTTTTCCTATTTAATATTCACAAAAGCCCTTGGAAGTAGGTGCTAGTAATTTCAGAGTTTTACATTTGAAGTTCAAAGGTTGTGTGCTCTTAGTTATTGAAAGGCAGTGAAGCACAGTTGTTAAGAGTGTGGCTCTGGAGCTACCCTGCCTGGGTTCACATTCAGGCCTGACCGTGTAGTGGCTGGAGACCTTAGTGAAGTGCCTTGGGGCATGGAGCTTGCCAGCCACTCAGTGTGTATTTGAGAGACTTCTGTTATTTACGGATGTAGCCACAAGTGTATGGACTATTTCAAGGAGTCGTCATCTGTGTCCACATATGAAGGTGAACTGAGAGCAGCCTCTTCTGCAGTTCATGGTCCATAGCAATGAACAGTGGTATTGCCATATCCTGAGGTAAAGGTGGGGCTGTCGATTCCACCTTGGAGGGCACAGGCCCCAGGCTGAGCTTACCTGTGGCTTTGTGGCCATGTGCAGTGCAGCTGCAGAACTGAGCAAGCCCACGCTCTCCCTGTGCTTTGTCTTACAGGATGGTGTCATACTGGTGCATCAGCATCAATCTGTTGTCCCTGCGCACCTTCCGTGTGTTGAGAGCTTTGAAAGCAATTTCAGTAGTTTCACGTAAGTCACTCACTTTTCACACTGGCTCTTATCTAGAAAGAATGTTAATTTGTATTTAAATTTTTTCACTATGTCATGTAAACCAAAAACAAACCAACCAACCCTGCTTTACACATTTATTTGATGGTCCAACTGATAATTATTGAGCACCTATTGTGGCTAGGGACTGTGCTAACTGCTTAGGATCTATTAGTAAGCAAATGGATACAGACCCCTGGTGTCATGGAGTTTTACCTTTCAGGGGACGGGGAGGGGAGGCAGACACCAGGCAATGGCTGTAATAAGTAAGTACATTGTGTCGCATGTAAGCCAGTGATATGTGCCAGGGAAAATATAAAGAGAAAGCAGACACCATGGGGCTATGGCAAGTCACAGGATATAGGGGAAGCAGGTTGCAATTTTCAACAGATCAGGATAGTTGTCATTGAGGTGAGAGGTGGCAGAGATTTGAAGGTGGTGAGGAAGTGACACAAGCAGATATATGGGAAAGAGTACTCTGAGCATGGGAAACAGCCAGCACCGAGATTGAGGAGTAGCAAGGATGAGGATGGGACTGGAGGGGAGGGAGTGAGGGGCCAGGTGGTGGAGGTGGGACCACAGAAGTGAAGGGGGGCTGGGCATGGTCGTTCATGCCTGTAATCCTAGCAATTTGGGAGGCCAAGGTGGGCATATAACTTGAGGCCAGGAGTTTGGGACCAGCCTGGCCAATATGGTGACGGCTTATCTTTACAAAAATCCAAAAGTTAGTCAGGCATGGTGGTGGGTACCTGTAATCTCAGCTACTTGAGAAACGGAGGCAGGAGAATTCCTTGAACCTGGGAGGCAGAGGTTGCAGTCTGAAGTGAGCTGAGATTGCACCATTGCACTCCAGGAGAAAGAAAGAAAGAGAGAAAGAGGGAGGGAGGGAGGGAGGGAGGGAGGGAGGGAGGGAGGAAGAGAGAGAGAAAGAAAGAAATAGAGGAAGGAAGGAAGGAAAGAGAGAAAGAGAGAGAGAAAGGAGGGAGGGAGGGAAGGAAGGAAGGGGAAAAAAGGAAGGAAGGAAAGGAGAGGAAAGAAAAGAAAGAAAAGGGAAGGAAGGAAGAGAAAGGAAGGACGGAGGGAGGAAAGAGAAGGAAAGAGAAAAAGAGAAAGAAAGAAAAAGGGAAGGAAGGAAAGGAAGGCAAGAAGGAGAGAAAGGAAGGAGGGAGAGAGGGAGGGAGGGAAGAAGGGAAAGAAAAAGTGAAAGGGAGTCCTGTATACACAGGGAGGATCTGGGCTTCACTCTGAAGAAGTGGGAGCTGTTGTGTGGAGAATGGAATATAGGTGAGGTGGCAGAAGCAGGAAGACCTTCTTCTGCAGGGAGCACGGTGGACTAAAGATCCCGGCTTCCACGTCTCTGGGTTCCCCACTGCATTCATGCACATGCTGAGATCATACCTGCTCTGCACGATACGTGTGGGTTCTAGTGCTGGCCCGTTCCTGAAGCATCTGGGATTCTTCTAACAGGAAACTTTGGCTCAGGAGCTCTCCAGCAACCTGGCTGGAGGACTCTGACAGCTGCACTGTAGTCTGAGGTTCCTCCTATCCAGCCCTTCCTTGTCTCTCTCTCAGACGTCAAACTTGTGCCACAGTCTGAAGCTTCTCCCTGCCCACTTCTGCTCCCCCCGCTCATCTTTCACAGGCATCCTCCCAACTCCCACAATTCTCTGGCACATCTGATCTCAGAATGTCTGCTCCTCAAAACCAAAACTGACACAAGAGACCGTTATCCAAGCAAGGCATGGCTGTGCTTTCTGATCAGGTAGTGGTAGTGGAGTGGGCGGACACTGGTCTGGTTCTGTGTCAACCTGACGGTGAAAAACAATAGCATTTCCTGATTGATCAATTGTATACATAATGTGAGCAAAAGAGAGGAGTCAAAAATGACTTTCATGTCTGATGTCACTGATTGAGAGACAGAAGGCTGTGAGAGGAGCAGGCCTTGGGGTCAGATCACCAGCCAGCCTTGAACATGCTGTGTTAGAGATGGCTGTGAGACACAAGGGAAAGGGTTCAGTAGGCAGTTAGGTATATATGAGTCCGGGATTCCAGGGAGGTACCATTTCAGGAATCAAGGGTCTATAGATGATATTTAAACTCGTGAGATCTGATGAGATCACCAGGGGAATAAGCAATGATGGAGAACAGAAGAGGACCAAGGCCTGAGCTCCAGGGCACTGAAACATGACACGAGAGAAGAGGAGAAACCAGGGAAGGAGATGAGCAGCAGCCACCAGTGAAGTAGGAGGGGAACCAAAGGTTTCCCCTGGCAGCCAGGCGAGGAAGGCACTTTAGCCTTGCAGAGCAGGATGAAGCCAGGGTCGGGCGTGAATATGAACTTCAGTTAATTGAAAATAAGGTTATTATAGCACACCCTTTCCCTCTCCTTCCCATTTCCTCTCTTTTTGTTTAGCAAAACAAACAAAGTAAAAAGTTTATTATCTTCCCTCTCTGGAGTCCTTTCCTTTCAGCTTCTCCCCTCCCCTTCTTTTCTATCAATGACTTTGACAAACTATGAGAAGACATGGGAACTATTTTGTTGTGCTGATTATATAGACTTAAATTATACCATACGGCCCCACTACCTAAACTCCAGGCAATGTAAATCCTTTCAAACAGAAGCAGTGGGTTATTTTTCGAAACTCCAGAAAAGCAACTGAATAGCAATAAAGAAACGGGTAGTCAGATAACACTTTATACAGAATTTGTCCCTTCTTCTCTTCTTCTTGTTCTTGTTCTTCTTTTCTCCTTGTTCTTTTTCTTCTCTTTCTCCTTCTCCTCCTTCTTCTTCCTCTACTTCTTCTTTTGCAAGTAGGACTTTGTTTTCTTAGGTAGAGTCAGGAGCTTTCTGCGTGAGCAGAGCCCCTCTTATTTTCACACAAGTAAATACACATTCAGGTAGTCATCTAGCAGCTTTCGTGTCCCCGTCTTCATCTCTACACAGGTGAATAAGACCTATATTTTGGCCCACGAAATGCACTGAGATGCCTGGATGCTTTTTGGAAGTAAGGGTGTGAGGTACAACCTTTTATGGCACTATGGAAAAAGGATCCAGGAATCTCAGTCATCACTCATCCGCATTTCTCGCTTGGGAGAAGCCTCTTGTTATAGATTCAAACCTGCCTTGGGTGCTGCTGCAGTAGCCTCTGCTTTGCCTTCACCTGGTGATACAGTGAGTGTCCCAGCTTGGCCTCCAGGTTCCTGCTACCCGGCATCGTACTTTGTAGTCAGCTCACCCACTGAGGGCTTGGCCTTCCACTGTACGCCGCCATGTGCTCTCACCTCTACACTGATCAACCGAAGTTTGTCACTTAGTTCACTCCATGCGTTGCAATCTCGTCTGGGAGTTTATCTCTCCAGTTATCTTGAGAGCAAAGCCCATGACTCAGTGGATTGCTGGAGCTGACTTGTTCTTTTCTCAGCTCTGTCCAGTAACATCATGTTGGTAGCTTGAAATCTACCACAGTGGCAAGGGGGGATCAAGATCTATACTACAGAATTCAGAAAACAAGGAAAGCTGTAAATCAGGGCCCTCTCCCCTCCTGCTTGAAGGCCCAGTTTTAAATATTTGCTAGCATGCCATGAGATTATGTCTCTCTTATTTTGTAACTTTGGCAGCTGAACCACGTGCCATGGACACAATAGGTGCTTAATAAATACTTCTTGAATAAGTGGATGAAAAGAAAACACTCTATTATAACTGATCATCTGAGTTTTCCTTCCCAAGATATCCTCATAACTTGAGTCTAGACAAAGCTCCTTCTTCATCCCTTCCACTCCACAGTTTAGCTATGTCTCATGGTACTCATGTACTTTGACAGTAGATGGTAACTACTAAATGTCAGATACGGGTCTATCTCATTCTCTACTGTGGCCCCAGCTAAGGTGGTGCCTTTGCAACTGTCCTCAAGCTATGCCTGAGTCCTCGTGGTATGTTTCTATTCAAAGCCCCGTTGCTTGCTCCTCACAGCAGCACTGAGGCAGGCATAGGGCAGGAATCGAGACTGTCTCAGACTTGTTGACTGCTTTGATGAACACTCAGCTTCCAAGGCACAGAGTTGCAGCAAGAACTCAAGGCATCAGAATCCTAGGCTAGGCTAGACTGCAGCTCCAGCCTGCACTTTGACAGTTTCCAAGACCTCATTTGCTCCTTCCTTGGCCTTGAGTGTGTCTGGCTGAGGGGAATGGGCTTCTCCCCACGCCTGTCCTCTTTCTCAGGTCTGAAGGTCATCGTGGGAGCCTTGCTGCGCTCTGTGAAGAAGCTGATCAATGTGATTATCCTCACCCTCTTTTGCCTCAGCATCTTTGCCCTGGTAGGTCAGCAGCTCTTCATGGGAAGTCTGAACCTGAAATGCGTCCGGAGCGACTGTAAAAACGTCAGTAACCAGGAGGCTTGTGGTAAATACCCAACCTTTCAATCCTTGATTTTTGCATGGTTAATTTCTACTTATGCTCACTTGTCCTGCCTTCACACTTCGCTTACAAACTGTCTTAGGTACAAGGGAGGACTTAATCCATCCACGGTGCTCCTGTGGGCAGATGCATTTCTTAGAGAAGTGCCTTGTTCTTTGTGTTGCCATGGAGAAGGAGAGTCTTGAAAGCACATCCACAAGAGCAATTCTATGCTCTCACATCCTTTTGCCATTTAGATCTCTGCCCACTTTTCTGTGATGTTTTGCGGAAGTTTGTGGAATGTTTGGATTTGGCCAGTGATAACCAGCAGTTTCCAAGCCCCCGCTCCTCAAGTATTTCTCCAATGACAGCACTTTTTTTTTTTTTTTTTTGAGATGGAGTCTAGCTCTGTCTCCAGGCTAGAGTGCAGTGGCACAATTTCGTCTCACTTCAACCTCCGCTTCCCGGGTTCAAGTGATTCTCCTGCCTCAGCCTTAAGAGTAGCTGGGATTACAGGCACATGCCACCACACCCAGCTAATTTTTGTATTTCTAGTAGAGACAGAGTTTTACCATGTTAGCCAGGATGATCTCAATCTCCTGACCTTGTAATTCGCCCATCTCAGCCTCCCAAAGTGCTGGGATTATAGGCGTGAGCCACCATGCCCAGCCAATAACACTTCTTTCTGTGCCCACCCTCTCCATAGAGAGATTGACCCTACACCTACTTCTGAATCTCATGTAACTGCACTCTCTTGATGTCTGTCATGGGATGGGTCCGTGTCCAGCTACTCCCAGGGAGGATCTTGGTTCAGTACTATTTACTGAGAGGCAAAGTGGTGGTGTGATGTCACTCCTTCCTCCTGCAACTTCTCCTTCCTCTTTTCCCTCCTTTTTTCTTGCTCCTTCCAGAGGTCTTGGGCCCCCGTTTCTTTCCAGACTATTGCTTTGAAAAGAAAGAAAATTCAACTGAATTCAGAATGTGTGGCACTTGGATGGGTAACAGGTAAGATGTTTATATTCTTCATTTTTCTCCCAAGAGGAGCACCTCTAGACTTTTTAGCGTGACGTGGCGAACAGTCTTTATCTAATGACTGGTGGACACGGTGATGATAGTTCTCACACAGTACTAACCATTTCATGTGTCTAAACTAGTTTAGACTTGTGTTATTAAATTAAAGAATCATTTCCTGGTGTTTAAAGCAGCTTTCCTCCCCAGTTATGTTAAATTGGAAGTTTATAAGAAACCTACTGAGACAGTGATGTTTCAGCTTCATGGAGTGGATATTCAAGGCTTCCAAAGCTGTGAAGGGATGTCATGCCTGAGAGCTCTGTGAGGCCCTTGCTTCCTGCTCAGCAGCGTCACCCTGCTGCAGGACTATCTTAACAAGGTGCTTCTCTTTGTTGACCTGTTGACCACTACGGCTTCTAATCACAAGCACAGTTGAACACGCGTCCGTTCACACTTGCCCCAACAGCGGCTGGCCCTCTCTGGTCCTGTGGGGAAACTTGTTTCTTTCAGGATATCAGTGCTTTCTGTGATGAAAGATTCAATTCAGTGAAGATTTATTGAGTCCCTTTCAAATTAAGATAATATGCAAGGTACTCTGATGAGATAGATGACATCCATTCCTAAATTACGAATGGATAACAAGAATCTACAGAGTGGCAAGCTCTGAGTTAGGCAATTATAAACAAGGCAGCCCCACACTTTTGGAATTTCTGTCTTCTAGGGAAGACGGAGGCACAGAAAATGCGGTTACATGTTGCATAATGATGTTTAGGTTGATGATGGATGACGTAAAAGATATTGGCCCCACAAAATTATAATGCTGTATTTTTTCAGTACCTTTTCTCTGTTTAGATACACAAATTCTTACTGTTGTGTTACAGTTGTCTACAGTATTCGGTACAGTAGCACACCATACAAGTCTGTAGCCTGGGAGCAATAGGCTATGTCGTATAGTCTAGGTGTGTAGTAGGGTATACCATCTAGGTTTGTGTGTACACTCTGTGATGTTCACACAACAGAACTGCCTAACTACACATTTCTCAGAATGTATTCCTGTGGTCCAGCAATGCATGACTACTAGAAAGTGTGGTGAGCATTACAAGCATGATGAGCAGGGGCTGAGAGGTGTGATGGGACGTGACCTTGTCTGGAGAATTAGGGAAGGCTTCTCTCCGTTTGCAAGACACAGTAGGATTTAATCTCATATGGGGCTTACTGAGCGTTCTAGAATGATTCTCAACAAAGCGTTCTGCACTGATCTTGTTGAGGATCATTCTAGGAAGAAAACTGTCTTCCATGAAACCTGTCCCTGCTGCCAGAAAGATCCCCAACATTTTGGCACCAGGGACCAGTTTCATGGAAGATACTTTTTTTTATGAACAAGAAGTGGGGGTGGTTTGGGGATAAAACTGTTCCGCCTCAGATCATCAGAATTAGATTCTCATAAGGAGCGCGCAACCTAGATCCCTCACATGCACAGTTCACAGTAGAGTTCACACTTCTATGAGCATCTAATGCTTGCCACTGATCGGACACAGGTGAAGCTCAGGCAGTAGTGTTTACTCACCTGCTGCTCACTTGCTCTGTAGCCCAGTTCTTAACAGGCAATGAACCAGTCCTGCTCTGTGGCCTGGGACTGGGGACCCCGGGAGGGAGCCTGACAGCGGCTGCATATAGCACTTCTTATACCCCTCACCCAAGCAGGCAGGTGTGGTTACTACAGGCAAAATCCAAGGTGGGGTGTGTCACCTGGACAGACAGAAGCAGCAGCCTTGTTTCCAACTAGTCTTACTTTTTTTGTTTTTCAATTATTTTGCCTCCAAAGTCTCTTATTACAATAACGTACTGCTATAAAAAGTCCAAAAGGCTATTTTAGCTGTTGAAAACTCAAATAACATCAGGCACAAAATGAATCAAGTGTTATGTTATATATGACAATAGAGAGTGGTGGGGAAAGTCGAGAGGCAGAGGACACATGTCATGTTTAATGGCAGTGTAACTTGTGGGTTTTTAAAAATTCAATAGGTTTTGGGGAACAGGTGGTGTTTGGTTACATGAATAAGTTCTTTAGTGGTGGCTTCTGAGGTTTTGGTTCATGAACTGGTCTTTTTAGGTTTTATTTTAAGTTCAGGGGTACATGTGGAGGTTTGTCATATAGGTAAATTTGTGTGCAGATTGTTTTATCACCCAGGTATTAAGTCTAGTTCCCATTAGTTATTTTTCCTGTCCTTCTCTCACCACCCACCATTCAGTAGGTCCCAGTATCTATTGTTCCCTGCTGTGTATCCATGTGGTCTCATCATTTATCTCCCATTTACAAGTGAGAACATGTAGTATTTGGTTTTCCTGTTCTGGCATTAGTTAATGGCCTCCAGCTTCATCCATGTTCCCACAAAGGAATAGATCTCATTCTTGGTTATGGCTGCATAGTATTCCACGGTGTATATGTACCACATTTTCTCTATCCAGTCTGTCACTGATTGGCATTCAGGTTGTCTCCATGTCTTTGCTATTGTGAATAGTGCTGCAATGAACAATCATGGGCATGTGTCTTTAAAATAGAATGATTTCTATTCCTTTGGGTATATATCCAGTAATTGGGCTTGCCAGGTCAAATGATAGTTCTGTTTTTAGGTCTTTGAGCAATTGCCACACTGTTTTCCACAATGGTTGAACTAGTTTACACTCCCACCAACAGTGGATAAATATTCCTTTTTCTCCACATCCATGCCAGCATCTGTTATTTTTTCACTTTTATTAATAGCCATTCTGACTGGTGTGAGATGCTATCTCATTGTGGTTTTGATTTGTATTTATCTAGTGATCGACGACGTCCAACTGGTCTCTATAGGGTTCTTAGCTCTAAGTGTATGAGCCAGGCACAGCTCTCTCAGTCTAGGTGCAATATAAATGCTCCAGAGTTTTATGGTAAACCAACTCCTAGTGCACAGCATTCCACACTGATCACAACATGCTTGCTTCTGAGGAGATGTCACTCTGAGAAAGCAGGTCTGTGATTGTCTTCCTAGGCAGGCTTTGGTCTCTTCAGGGCCTGGGCTAGTCATCACCCTCTGGTCACTTCTTCCTTCTCTGCTGACTAACTGACAGTGACTACAACTCAGATCTGAAGTCTAAGTAGGAGGTTCCAGTAGATAAAGAGAAAGAGTGAATAATTCTAGACAGTAGGCACAGCAAGGGTAAGCATGAGGCCTTGGAGCATAAGAACATGTAGGGAATGATAAGAAGCCCAGCAACTTTTTGGGAAGACAGGCAAGAGAGTGAGCAGGAAGTTCTAAGAAGAGAGCCAACCTTGAAGGACCTGATAGCTCATCAGTGCCAATGATTTTGGTCTAGATCGCAAAGGAAGCAGGAGACATGGAAAGGTTTTAGGGCAGGTGAATGACCTGGGCAGGTTAGGTATATTTTAAAAGCCACAATGGCTGCTGTGTAGAGAATGGATGCATAGAATAGATGGAGAAGCCAATTATAAGACTGGTAGAAAGAGTAAAGATCATGAAGATGTCCAGTGGTGATGAAGAGAAGTTAATGGATGCATTCCAGAGACATTTAGGAGATAGAAAGAACAGGACGTATCAATATTGGCTTTGAATGTAAGTGGGCTAAATGCCCCCACTTAAAAGGCACACAGTGGCAAGCTGGATAAAAAGCAAGAACCAATGGTATGCTGTCTTCAAAAGACTCATCTCTCATGTAATGACACCCACAGGCTCCAATAAAAGGAATGGAGGAAAATATACCAAGCAAGTGGAAATCAGAAAAAAGAAGGAGTTGCAATCTTAATTTCAGACAAAACAGACTAAACCAACAAAGATCAAAAAAGATAAAGAAGGGTATTACATAATGGTAAAGAGCTCAAGTCAACAAGAAGACCTAACTAATCTAAAGATATATGCACCCAACACAGGAGCACCCAGATTCATAAAGCAAATTCTTAGAGACCTACAAAGAGACTTGGACTCCCACACAATAATAGTGGGAGACTTTAACACAGCACTGACAGTATTAAACAGATCATTGGGGCAGAAATTTAACAAAGATATTCAGGACCTGAACTCAACATTGGACCAAATGGACCTGATAGACCTCCACAGAACTCTCCACCCCAAAACAAGAGAATATACATTCTTCTCATCACCACATGCCACATACTCTAAAACTGACCACACAATGGAATATAAAACAAGCCTCAGCAAATGCAAAAGAACCAAAATCATATCAAACACATTCTCAGACCACAGCACAATAAAAATGGAAGACAAGACTAAAAAAATCACCAAAACTACGTAATTACATGCTTCTGGAAATTAAACAACATGCTTCTGAATGGGTAAATAACAAAATTAAAGCAGAAATCAAGAAGTTTTTTGAGACCAATGAGAACAAAGGCACAACATACCAGAATATCTGGATGCTAAAGCAGTGTTAAAAGAAAAATTCATAGCACTAAACGCTCCCATCAAAAACTTAGAAATATCTCAACGTCACGATCTCACGTCACAACTGAAAGAGTTAGAGAAGCAACAGCAAAGCTAGCAGAAGGCAAAAAATAAGAAAATCCAAATAAACACAATTAGAAATAACAAAGAGGATGTTACTACTGACCACACAGAAGTAAAAATAACCGTCAAAAACTACTACAAACATCTCTAAGCACACAAACTAGAAAATCTGGAAGAGGTGGATAAATACCTGGACACAAACACCCTCCCAAGACCGAACCAGGAAGAAACTGAGTCCCTGAACATACCAATAACAAGCTCTGAAATTGAATCCATAATAAATAGCCTACCAACCAAAAAAATCCCAAGACCAGAGAGATCCACAAATTCTACTAGATGTACAAAGAAGAGCAAGTACCATTCCTACAGAAACTATTTCAAAACATTGAGGAGCAGGGAGTCCTCCCAGATCATTCAATGAGACCAGCATCATCCTGATACCAAAACCTGGCAGAGGCATGACAAAAAAAAGAGAGAAAACGTTAGGTCAATATCCTTGATGAACATTGATGCAAAAGTCCTCAACTAAATACTCACAAACTTAATCCAGCAGTATGTCAAAAGCTAATCCACAGCAATCAAGTAGGCTTCATCCTTGGGATTCATGGTTCGTTCAACATACACAAATCAATAAATGTGATTCATTAGAACTAAAGACAAAAAATGCATGATTATTTCAATAGTTGCAGAAAATGCTTTTGATAAATTTAACATCCTTTCATGATTAAAACTCTCAATAAACTAGATATTGAAGGAACATACCTCAAAATAATAAGAGCCATCTATGTCAGACCCACAGCGACATCATACTGAATGGGGAAAAGCTGGAAGCATTCATTTCTCTTGAAAACCAGCACAAGACAAGGATACCCTCTCTCATCACTCCTATTCAACATAATATTGGGAGTCCTGGAGAGAGGAATCAGGAAGAGAAAGAAATAAAGGGCATCCAAATAGGAAGAGAAGAAGTCAAATTATCCCTGTTTGCAGATGACATGTTCTGTATCTAGAAATACAGTCTCAGCCCAAAAGCTCCCTCAGCTGATAAACAACTTCAACAAAGTTTTAAGATACGAAATCAATGTACAAAAATCACTAGCATTCCTATATAACTACAGCCAAGCTGAGAGCCACATTAGGAATGCAATCCTATTCACGATGTGACAAGAGAATAAAATACCTAGGAATACAGCTAATCAGGGAGGTGAAAGATCTCTACAATGAGAATTATAAAACACTGCTAAAAGAAATGAAAGATGACACAAATGGAAAAACATCCCATGCTCACAGATAGGAAGAATCAGTATCATTAAAATGGACAAACTGTCTAAAGCAATTTACAGATTCAGTGCAATTCCTAACAAATTACCAATGACATTCTTGATGGAACTAAAAAAACACTTTTAAAATTCATATAGAATGAAGAAAGAGGCCAAATACCCAAGGTAATCCTAAGTAAAAAGTTCAAAACTGAAGTCATCATGTTACTCGACTTCAAAATATACAACAGGGCTACAGTAACCAAAACAACATGGTACTGGTACAACAACAGTCGTATAGATCAGTGTGGTCAATAGAGAACCCAGAAATAAGGCTGCACCCTTACAACCAGCTGATCTTAAAGCTGACAAAACAAGCAATGGGGAAAGGACTCCTTTCTATTCAATAAATGGTGCTCGATTAACTGGCTAGCTATATGCAGAAGATTGAAACTGGAGTCCATCCTTACACCATATATAAAAATCAACTCAAGATGGATTACAGACTTAAATGTAAATCCCCAAACTATAAAAACTCTGGAAGACAGCCTAGGCTATACCATTCTGGACAAAGAAGTGAACAAAGATTTCATGATGATGCCAAAAGCAATCAGAACAAAAGCAAAATTTGACAAATGAGATCTAATTAAATTTCAGAGCTTCTGCACAGCAAAAAAAGAAAATCCTATCAGCAGAGTAAACAGAAAACCTACAGAATAGGAGAAAATATTTGCAAACTATGCATCTACTAAGGGTCTAAGATTCAGCATCTATAAGGAACTCAAACAAATTAACAAGAAGAAAACAACTCCATTAAGAAGTAAAGAACATGAATAGACTTTTTTTTAAAAGATTTAGATGTAGCCAACTAGTATATGAAAAAAAGCTCAACACCAGTGCCTGTTAGAGAAATGCAAATCAAAACCGCAATAAGATACTGTCAACACCAGTCAGAATGGCTGTCATTAGAAGTAAAAAAGTAACAGATGTTGGCAATGTTGCAGAGAAGAGGGAACACATACACTGTTAGAAGTGTATTATAAAAAGTTGTATATAGATATAGATGTGCTGTATATTCACAACAAACTTCTGGAAATTTACAAAAGTAACTGCTAACTATTGCTTCTAGGAAGTGGGATCAGGAGACTGGGAAGAGAGGGGACTTAATATTCATAGTATGTGCTTTTCTACTATTCATTGTTCACATGTCAGTATACTCAAGTTTTCAGTGTAAAACTATCTTATATGAATTTATTAATCAGTTCATTAGCAAAAGAGTCTTGTCAGATGGGCAATGGCCACTTTACAAATACTCCCTTCCTCTAGGGCTCCTGGTGTAAGCCCACAGCCCTCGGAAAAAACAGTGTCATTGGGGGTAAAGGGAAGCTTGGCTGTGGCATATATAATTATTTCTCTGTTCCTTTGTTTCCACTATCTAGTTCCTGTTCCTCACAGTATGAATGTATTCACACCAGAATTAATCCTGACTATAATTATACGAATTTTGACAACTTTGGCTGGTCTTTTCTTGCCATGTTCCGGCTTATGACCCAAGATTCCTGGGAGAAGCTCTATCAACAGGTTATCTGTTTATAGTCTCTCTTTTTCCTCTCTCCCTCCCTCCATCCTTCTCCTTGCCCCTCTGTCACTTACCCGTTTATCTACCACTTACTTATAACTCTCATGCATTCCCCACTTTTGTCATCTGTCTCATCTTTAACAGTTGTACTGTCAAATTCTACCTTCCTCATTCTGTTAGAAACTTCAAGGAAATTGGCCCGACATGGTGACTTACGCCTGTAATCCCAGCGCTTTGGGAGGCCGAGGCGGGTGGATCACTTGAGGTCAGATTAAGACCAGCCTGGCCAACATGGTGAAACCCCATCTCTACTAAAAATACAAAAATTAGCCAGGCGTGGTGGCAGGCGCCTGTAATCCCAGCTACTCAGAAGGCTGAAGCAGGAGAATCACTTGAATCCAGGAGGCAGAGGTTGCAGTGAGCTGAGATCATGCCACTGCACTCCAGCCTGGGCGATAGAGTGAGATTCCATCTCAACAGCAAACAAACAAGCAAACAAAACAAAACTTCAAGAAAACCTCTTCCTAGAAATATTAGCACCCTCCAGATTCCCTACTGCCTGAAGTTTTACCACTAGCATTATCTTTCTTACCGTTTTTATTGTAAAAATGCAAATACTCTTGAGAAAGTTATAGACAGTAAAGTCCCTGAACCTTCCATGGGCAGGTATGGCTAGTACCTCCCACTGACCAACAGGGCATCAGGAATCCCTGTGGTTTTCAGGAGGCTATAGATGATGCTGTGGTCAGCTGAGCCCACCAGTGCTGGGTAAGACCAATTGTCTGCTACTGGGTGGTCTTTGCTTGGGGTGATGGTCGCCCTCCTGTGGAAGAAGGCTTGAGATGCAAGAACATGCTCTGTCCTTTGCAGACCCTGCGTACGACTGGGCTCTACTCAGTCTTCTTCTTCATTGTGGTCATCTTCCTGGGCTCCTTCTATCTGATTAACTTAACCCTGGCTGTTGTCACCATGGCGTATGAGGAGCAGAACAGGAATGTAGCTGCTGAGATAGAGGCCAAGGAAAAGATGTTTCAGGAAGCCCAGCAGCTGTTAAGGGAGGAAAAGGAGGTAGGTACATGGGGTTAGCCAGTGGGATCCGGTATGGGGAGGGGAAGGGGCCGCCAGAGGCAATGTGGCCTGAGACTCAAGACCACCACCCTTGGCCTGGTCCCAGCACTTTCTCTACCGGTGCTTTTCTGAGAATGCAGGCCCCTTGCAGAATGGCTGTGCTGCTTTCTTCACAAAGTTGTTCGGGCACCAGGCCCTTGAGAACCTTGAGACACTTGGTCTTGGTGCTTTTTCACCTTCTGAAGCCTAGCCTTTCTAAGACATGCCCCTAATTACTGGCTAGATGATACACCCTAAGTATATGTAAATCCAGGCTGTGCTCCAGACGTTCTTGTGGAAATCTGGAGATGTTCGCATTCGGGGCCTTTGCTTGAGATGGGCTCTAGAACAACAATGATCCCTCCTCCCTGTCTGAAATGCTTGCCATATTTATAGGCCATTCTAATAGTTTTCCTGGAATCTTTATAATCTTCCAGCTCATGTCTAAGATTTTCAGGACAGGGACCATGCTTTATACTCCACTCATCCTCTACAAGATTTGTCAGAAGGATGCCCCTCCTAAGTGCTTGACATCTGCATTGTCAGGTGTAAGTATTTGTTGAGTGCCTAGCACATACTGGACACTGCTAAGGGGCAGTGACACAGAGAGATGAAATAGTCAGTGCTGCTTTTGGTGGCTGCAATCTCTGTGCAAAAACAGGATATGCTTCCCCAGGTAAATAATAACAGAGCTAGCACGGTCCAGGTAGATGAAGAACAATTTAAATGATGCAGTGCTACCAGAAGAGAGATTTCTACCACTCTAAGGTCAGGGTCATTTGCAGTATTTCATGAGGAGGCGTAATCTGTTCTTTAATTGCTTTTGTTCACTTTCGAAGGCTCTGGTTGCCATGGGAATTGACAGAAGTTCACTTACTTCCCTTGAAACATCACATTTTTCCCCCCAAAAGAGAAAGCTCTTTGGCAATAAGAAAAGGAAGTCCTTCTTTATGAGAGAGCCTGGGAAAGACCAGCCACCAGGGTCCGATTCTGATGAAGATTCCCAAAAAACGGTAAGTCTTGTCCAGGGAATTCATGATACCATAGTGCTGTTGGGGTCCCATTGCCAGTCGAATCGAAAAAATTTATTTACTCATTCATTCAACCATTTGCACATACTTGCATCCATCCATCTATCTTTTCAATTATCCATTTATTTGTAAACATTGATTTAGAGTGTCCAGTATTTATTATCTGCTTGTCACTGGGATGGGTACTGCAGATACATGATTTATACTCCAGAGAGTATACAGCTAATGATGGAGACACACTGATAAGAAGACAGTTCCAATTCAATGTGATGACTGATGTTCTGATTGCTGTGGGAGGACAGAGGAGGAGTGATGTCAGTGTGGGCTCCCTCTGAAGCAAACCCAGAGACATTACCATGCAAGTAGATTATTTGGGAAGTGATCCCAGGAAGCACTGTGGGAGGAGGGAAGAAGTGTTATATGGAATGGAAGGTAATCAGTGAAGGCGCATTATCAAGCCAGTTACCACTGAAGCCAGGTACTTGACGTTTAATCATTCTGGAGTACGGTCATCAGAGTGCATATATCCTTGTATATATACCAACTTTGGTCCATCGTAGGTTAAACATAGGTTAAAGACTGCTGAAGACTGAAGACAATAATTTCCCTCTAATTTCCTACTTGCTGTGCACTTGGGAAGAGGGGATTTCAGTCACCGGAGAAAGTCCTCAAGTGAGGACATATGGGTGGGAACACCAGCAGCATCCAGAATTCATGGGGCCTGGGGGAAAAGCAGATTAGAAAAGGATTCCCAGACACTTTTCAAAAGTGGATTAGAAAAGGGTTCCCAGACCCCTACATTATACCTTATACAAAAATTAACTCCAGATGGATTAAAGATTTAAACATAAGACCTAACACCATAAAAACCCTAGAGGGAAACCTAGGCAAAACCATTCAGGACATAGGCGTAGGCAAGGACTTTATGTCTAAAACACCAAAAGCAATGGCAAGAAAAGCCAAAATAGACAAATTGAGATAATTAAACTTAAGAGCTTCTGCACGGCAAAAGAAACAATCATTAGAGTGAATCGGCAAACAACAAAAATGGGAAAAAAAATTTGCAAGCTACTCATCTGACAAAGGGCTAATATCCAGAATTTACAAAGAAGTAAAACAAATATACAAGAAAAAAGCAAGTAACCCCATCAAAAAGTGGGTGAAAGATATGAACAAATACTTTTCAAAAAAGACATTTATGAGGCCAACAAACATGAAAAAATGCTCATCATCACGGGTCATTAGAGAAATGCAAATCAAAACCACATTGAGATACCATCTCACGCCAGTTAGAATGGCGATCATTAAAAAATCTGGAGACAACAGATGCTGGAGAGGATGTGGAGAAATAGGAACACTTTTACACTGCTGGTGGGAGTGTAAATTAGTTCAACCATTGTGGAAGACAATGTAGCAATTCCTCAAGGATCTAGAAATAGAAATACCATTTGACCCAACAATCCCATTACTGGGTATATACCCAAAGGATTATAAATAGATCTATTATAAAGACACATGCACATGTATGTTCATTGCAGAACTATTTACAATAGCAAAGACTTGGAACCAACCCAAATGCCCATAAAAGATAGACTGGATAAAGAAACTGTGGCACATATACACCACGGAATACTATGCAGCCATAAAAAATGATGAGTTCATGTCCTTTGCAGGGCCACAGATGAATCTAGAAACTATCATTCTCAGCAAACAGACACAAGAACAAAAAACCAAATACCACATATTCTCACTCATAAGCGGTGTTGAACAATGAGAACACATGGACACAGGGAGGGGAACATCACACACTGGGGTCTGTTGAGGGGTGGAGTGCTAGGGGAGGGATAGCAGGAGGTGGGGAGGTTGGGTAGGGATAACATTAAGAGAAATAACCTAATGTAGGTGACGGGGGGATGGAGGCAGCAAACCACCATGGCACGTGTATACCTATGTAACAATCCTGCAAGATCTGCTTATGTACCCCAGAACTTAAAGTAAAATTTAAAAATAATGAAAATAAAAATAAATAAGAAAAAGAAAGAAAAGTGTTCCCAGAAGAAGCATTGTGTCAGCTGAAAGGATGAATTCATCAGCAAAAGGAATAAGAGCATTACCTGCAGAGAGAACAGCATGTGCAAAGCCTAGAAGCAAAGGCAAGCAGGAGAACATGACCCACTAGAAAACTTGGCTGTGTGTGCGTGTGTGCGTGTGCGTGTGTGTGTCTGTGTGTGCTCATGTATGCATATGTGTGATGAGGCCGGGGGAAGGTGGGTGGCAAGAGGCTATAACAGCCAGATAGGGGGATCACAAAAGACCTGGAAAACAAAGCTAAGGAGATTGCTCTTTGCACTGAGGGCAAGGGGCAAGCAGCATTGAAAGGTTTATGCGAGAGAGGAGTATGACGGGGTTTATGAAATCCTGGATGTGTTGAAGATAGGGGATTGGAGGAGGGCAAGACTGGAGGCAAGTAGTTAAGAGGTTGTCGCAGTAACCAAGTAAGAGGTGGCTGTGGCTTAAACCAGGGTTAGGGCGGTGCGGATGAAGACAGATTAACAGACAACAATGACCTGCAGAAGATGAAGTTTAGGAATTGAGTCGATGGACAGTGTAGGGATGAGGTCTGGCTTCTGACATGATTAACTTGATGGAGGGTAATTTATGGAGACAGGGAAGGCACACATTTTGAGAGTGGAAAGATGGCATGTTCAGTTTCAAATGTGCCAATTTTGAGGTGCTTTTGACCTCCAAGCAGGAATGTTGACTAGGCAGCGTGATGTGCAGAAATGAAGCTGGGGGGATGGGCAGCAGAAAAAGGTATTCTTATCATTCAGATGGGGATGTTCACACATAATGTAATTGTCTGGGGAAAAGTCAGAAGAGAGGAAGATGCTGAAGACACAGGTAAGGATGGCAAGAGCCACTTTCCTGAGATAGAGGGAGATGCAGAATGTAGAAAGTAGATACGTATGACTGATAATGGGGCAGGGAAAGGAAATCAAGGGGCCTTTGCAGAATCAGGTAGAAGGATCCCATCCACTGCTCTGATCAGTTCTCTGCTATAGGAATAGGGAGACATCTCATAGAAAAACTATCTAGATTGGCTTATCACAAAAGGGTAGTTCCCTCCGGGGCCCTCATCAGTCAGAACCGTTGGAAAATAGGTCATTATGAAAACCTAAGTTTTCTGGATAGCGGGAGGTTTGCACTCTAATTCCAGTGGCTTTAGAACTGTAGGTAGATGTGGGAGAGTCAGCTCGCCCTTGGGCACGGCCTGAGAGTGTGCTTGAGGTTTGGCATATACATTTTGTGATATTTAGCGTGACTGTTCTTCTTAGTTACTGCCAGTTTTAAAAATCAGTTTAGGCAGATGTTCAAAGCACTTCACAATCTGGCCCCATCCACCTTTTTAAATTTACACTCCACTGCTGCCTCTTGCAAACATTGTTTTCAAATTGGATTTTATGTTGCTTTCATACCCTGAACCATTGCTCACTAATTTTTTGTAAAATTTTGTTTGCTCTTTATTGGCAGTGAATATAACACAGAGAAAGTAAAATCTCTGTAGATAGGACTCTAGAAATGTGCATGCATAAAAAATATAAATGACGAAAGCAGATTTCTCTTATCTGTTAAATATGAAATAAGAAAACAATATTTGGCATGCTGTAAAGACAAGGTGAGTTGACCTATAGAAAATATTGAGCACTTTGGTTACTTGTAGCTTTGGAACAAAGTCGTTCATTAAGTTTTGAGGAGAGGCAGCCTCTTTCTTTAGAAGGTGTGCCATGCCTTCTCTTACAGCCACAGCTCCTAGAGCAAACCAAACGACTGTCCCATAATCTATCACTGGACCACTTTGATGAGCACGGAGATCCTCTCCAAAGGCAGAGAGCGCTGAGTGCCGTGAGCATCCTGACCATCACCATGAAGGGTAAGTTCCATCCCAATCCAAGGGAAAGTGCCCTGCAGTGATTCCTTCTATTTTTCTAGAAGCCCTCTGCAAAGGAGGCTGTTTTGGAACCAAGCTACTGTACCATCCTGCAAAGAGTGACTTCCTATGCCTCTTTGGAGCATTTAAACGAAGTGGCTCACGAGAAGCAGACCTTCCCTGTGGGCCCACTCTAAACTAGCCCTCAAGTAGTGGTAGAAGCTGCCTAGACTTGGGATGGGACTTCAGACCAAATGCATAGACAGGGCCTCACAACCAGACCAGGCAGTCACAGAAGATTTGAGTGACAACAGTAGTCAGTCAAAGAACAGAAGACTGACATCGTCAGGAGGTGGCCGCTATTGAAGTTAGAGTCAGCAATCCCACATGGGCAATAGTAGACAGGCCCAAACCATCTGATGGAGCGGATTAACAGCAGGTAACAGGACCCCACGCCACGCATTGGTGTTCAGAAGCAGGATCAATTCCCTGCAAGGGGGTGTCAAATAGTCCTCTAGCACTTTTGAGCCTGTTACATCATCTCCTTTGCTCTGCATGTGTCCCTGCAGTGGTGCCATGGAAATCAGGGGTGCCACGGAATCAGGGGTGCCACGGAAATCAGGGGTGGCCTGAACTCAGCTAGTGGATAGAGTGCCTTTTACTGTTTCAGTGCTTACAGATGCACTTCCTTTGAGGCCTGGTTACCCCTTTTGCCTCTGTTACGGCTGACCCTCTGGTCTGTCTTGAGTGGGCCTGTATCTACCTCTCTCTTGGACCCACAGCCAGCCAGTGTCGACTTCCACGCCTTTATCTCTAACAGAAAAGCCCAGCTCCTGGGTGCTCAGTAAGAGTGTAAATATTTGATGGACTTGACTATGCCACATGTTAGTCTCTTCTGCACTGTGACTGGTGGAAAAACATTTCTGGCTACACAAATCAAAGCCTTTCACAACTGATCATGTAGAAGAGGCTCTGGGAAAGAGGGATGAAGGAATGCACTCAGGCAAAGGGCATCTGAGTTGCTTCAGAGCTAACTCCTCAACCTCTCGCTCATTCTCCTCTAGAACAAGAAAAGTCACAAGAGCCTTGTCTCCCATGCGGGGAAAACCTGGCATCCAAATACCTCGTGTGGAACTGTTGCCCCCAGTGGGTTGCCATTAAGAAGGTCCTGAGAATCGTGATGACCGACCCCTTTACTGAGCTGGCCATCACCATCTGCATCATCATCAATACTGTCTTCTTGGCCATGGAGCATCACAAGATGGAGGCCAGTTTTGAGAAGATGTTGAATACAGGGAATTTGGTAACTTTACTCTTTTTAAAAATACAAAACGTACTTCGAACTTTAAAGTATAACTCTTTCAAAGTTTAAACATTTTGTGAATGGCCTAACCTAACCTAGGTTTTCAGTCCCCTTAAGAGGAGCAGCAGGAAAAGATGTCCATTATGGTTTTACTTTTACCCAGTTCATTTCAGAAATTGCCCACGGACCCTGAGTTGGCCCTGTGGTATGTTCAGGCATCTGTCTGGTCATTCAGTGGTAAGCCGGATGCAAGCAGACATTCTAAAAGCTCAGCTCTCTGGGATAATCAAGAAAATGTGAAAAATATCTAGAGAACCATGGTAATGACCACTGTGGCCCCAGTGATATTCATGACATCATTTGTCACAAAATAATGTGACTACTATTACTAGTTATTCTCCCTGGAAAGATGAGTCAGGGCCTGGCAGCCTTGGGAGGTTCATGTTCCTGGGAGGGGTTGTTGGAGGGGTGGTCACTGTGTGGTGAGGTGCATTTCCAGACTTGAGCCTGCTTCAGTATGTTTCTCACTGGATACATCTAGTCTCAGTTAAATTGGGAAAACTAAGGGGAGCAGACTTTTCAAGGACCATTCACTCAGTTTATGGTTCTTGCAGAAGGCGTTTTTCTCAAGGAAAAATTAGTTCCTCAAATATCAGAAACAATAAATAATTACTCACCAAATGATCTACACTAAATAGCTGATGAGTTAATGAGCTGAAAACCTTACCAAATACGAATAAATACAAATGAAACAGAGCAAATCCTTCCTTCACGGCAAATAGCACAGTCTTATTTGTGATTTGCTGTATTTTCTGCCAAGATATGGAAGACAGATTGAGTTTTTAATTGGCTACTACATTTAACATTTTCACATATTTCCTAAGCCTGTATTTATCTGATTATTGCAGACCAAGACAAAACTGTTCTGCTCAGGGAAAATGCAACATTTAGCCCTTTCTGTAATTCCTACCTCTCCTTTCTGTTCTGCGATGTTTTGTTCTGGAAGCGTGAGCTTTGCATCCTGAAAGTTTTTAGGATTATATTCTGATTCACTAATTCTCCTTTCATCCACAACCAGTCTAGGGCTTATCCTATATATCTAGTTGTTCAAAGGCATTTTTTTATTTTTTTGGTCCCTGGAAGCGTTTTCTAATGCTATGATCTGTGCCCCTTTTTTGTTTTTATTTTTAATTATTCTGATGAACGTGTTGAAGTTAGGTGGTCGGTGAACTCCTCCTCGATTCTAGTGTGTGGGGATATTTATCATTAGTTTTCAGGGCTACTGTACGCGTTCCTTCTCTCCCCATTTCGATTGCTTTAATTGATATTCTAAAGCGAATTCAGAGGACAAATTGCCTGACACTTTCTGTCATCCTGCCATCTACCAGTAATACCATTTTGCCTTATCCTCAACAGAATGAGAACTAACATTCATTTTCCATTCTGGTGTCTGGGAGCTTGGTTACATTGCTCTGGGCACCATAGAGAGGGATGGAGACAGCAGTAAAGTCATGGCGAGGTTCATGCTACAACAGTAAATGTTTCTACTGCATGGACTTTAGGGTATAGTGTATCAACGCGAGAATACTTTTCATTTCTTTGTAATCTCTGTACCTCCCTTGGGCCATTCATAAAAGTGTGTCTCCACAGCTTCCTTCTCTCATTCTTCTTTGTCCCACTGTAGGTTTTCACTAGCATTTTTTTAGCAGAAATGTGCCTAAAAATCATTGCCCTCGATCCCTACCACTACTTTCGCCGAGGCTGGAACGTCTTCGACAGCATTGTCGCTCTTCTGAGTTTTGCGGATGTACTGAACGGTATATTTCAAAAGAGAAGCTGGCCGTTCTTGCGCTCCTTCAGAGTGGTAAGGCACTTTCTTATTTTACCGCGTGAACATAGCTGCCTGAGTGAAAAAAGTCTTGAGCCAGTTCAGTAGCTGTCTTGGACTAAGCTTTATCTCACCTTAACCCAGAACCAAAACTGCTCTCCTCATCCTGCACAGGTCTTTACTAGCCTTGCAAGTCCCTGGGGGTCTTCACTTAGCTGAAACCTTATACTCCCAGCCCCTTCCTGCCAGGGATGACCCTTTAGGCTACTGGGCACAAAATTGTGTCTCCCAGTGTGAGGATTCTGCTCCTTGCTGTGTGTACGACCCCTCCAACACTCTTACCCGATGGAGCTCTGAGACAATAAATAATAAATAAGGAAAAATATTCATATCTCTCAGGTCGTATTGGGCTCACCAAGGGGGGTGGTGAAGACTGTAGAACACAGGGGAAGGATGGGTGCTGCCGGCAGGTGATATCCCACGTTTCCTTCTCACTGCTGCCGGTGCTACATTCCTGCTCTGTGGTCTTTGCCCTCTATCCAGTTTGGAAGCATTCTGACAACCTTTACAGAGTGCCTAATAAAAACCGACATGAGGGAAGGTGCAAAGATGAGGAAATCACTATCTTTGAGAAGTTTCCAGCACAGGAGTGGTAAAGGGCAGGGCTGCACGCACAGTACAGCGTGACAGGGCCCAGGAAAGGTATAGACAGAGGACTACAGGTAAATCAGATCCGAGAGGGAACTAGAAAACCTCCAAGGTGGGGTTTTGTCCTCTTTCCAAGATATTTACCTTTCTTTTTTTTTTCAGATAGGATTTCTAAGCCTATAAAGTAAGACACTTTATTCAGTTACCTAAGTGCACATTTTATACTTTTTATACTTGGGATATAGAAAGAGGTTACACTGCTCAAAGTCTGTTGTTATTAAGCTTCTCTACTAATGTTTTATTGGCACTCTGGTGAGCAAAATTGCATTTGCTTTATTATTATTTAGGCTTATTACAGCCATGCTCTAGTACATGGAAATCTGTGGCATTGTCTGTATATGAGAATGGAACCACAGTTTTTTCCTGGGACGCTCCTAGCTGCCCTTTGAGTAGACAGTGACAGTGCTCGTCAAGCAGAAGTCTTGCTGATGCAATGTTTCCATCCCCAAATAGGGGATGTGCTTAACAAAATTGTACTTTGGAGTAAAACCATCAGTTTACATCAAAAGTTAATATAAGAAACAATCTATTCAATAGTTGCTGTGTGTTCTCTAAGGTTGTTTGCTATAAAATCTGTGAAGATCTGGGATAAAATTTATCTTTGGAAATAGTATACAAGTCTTGAATAGCTGGTTGCCTTTTCTCTCCTGACTACAAATGCCGTGTTACTCTCATCATTCCTATGAGGCTTAGATTCAAACTTGTGGTCTGAATTATGTAATACAGAAGTTAGCAAACTTTCTGTTAAGGGCCAGATAGTAAACGTTTTCAGCCTTACAGGCCATGTGGTCTCTGTTGCAACCATTAAACTTTGCCATTGAGGCACAAAAAAAACCATAGACTTTCAAAAACCAATGAGTATGGCTATGTTCCAATAAACTTTATTTATGGATGCTGAAACTTGAACTTCATATAATTTTAATGCATCATGAAATATCCTTTTGATTATTGTTATTTCCTTTTTTTTTTTTTTTGAGACGGAGTTTCAATCTTGTTACCCAGGCTGGAGTGCAATGGCGCGATCTCAGCTCACCGCAACTTCCGCCTCCTGATTCAGGCAATTCTCCTGCCTCAGCCTCCTGAGTAGCTGGGATTACAGGCACGCGCCACCGTGCCCAGCTAATCTTTTGTATCTTTAGTAGAGATGGGGTTTCACCATGTTGACCAGGATGGTCTCGATATTTTGACCTCGTGATCCACCCACCTCGGCCTCCCAAAGTGCTGGGATTACAGGCGTGAGCCACCGCGCCCGACCCTGTTATTTTCTTTTTTTGAGACAGAGTCTGGCTCTGTTGCCCAGGCTGGAGTGCAGTGGCATGGTCTCAGCTCACTGCAACCTCCACCTCCCAGGCTCAAGCCATCCTCCCTCCTCAGCCTCCCGAGTAGCTGGTGGCCCACGCCACCACACCTGGCTAATTTTTGTATTTTTTGTAGAGATGAGATTTCACCCTCTTACCCAGGCTGGTCTTGAACTCCTGGGCTCAAAGGATCACCTACCATGGCCTCCCAAAGTGCTCGGATTACGGGTGTGAGTCACTATGTCTGGTGTGATTGATTTATTTTTCAGTCACTTAAATGTGGAAAAATATTCCTGTCTCTGAGATCATGCCAAAAAAACAAAAAAGGCATTGGGCTGGATCTGGCTCTCAGTCAGTTTTCTGACCCTTGGTATGTTACATAGAATCCCAAAACATTCATTTTATATAATAATTATGTAGCTCAGTCACCATGCTGATCCCAAAGTCTTTATTATTAAAAAACTAAAACAAGATATTTCCATTTTCAAATAAAAAAGTAGATACAGGTAAGTTTCAGATTATGACAGAGAGTTGGTGACTATGTTGAGGATGGATTTAGCTTTAAAAAGCGTTTTGGATGTTGTAAGTGCTGTAGTTTGGGTATATGTCATTTGCTTTATAGATGAGCAGACGGAGTTGTACTCAACAGGCTTTTCTTCTGCTTTTGTTTATTATCTGTTTTTACAGCTCAGGGTCTTCAAGTTAGCCAAATCCTGGCCAACTTTGAACACACTAATTAAAATAATTGGCAACTCTGTTGGAGCCCTTGGAAGCCTGACTGTGGTCCTGGCCATTGTGATCTTTATTTTCTCAGTAGCTGGCATGCAGCTTTTTGGTTCTAGCTTCAACTCCCTAAAGAGTGCAAAATTATGTGACCCGACAGACCCGACAGTCTCATGTTTACGGCACTGGCACATGGGGGATTTCTGGCACTCCTTCCTAGTGGTATTCCGCATCCTCTGCGGGGAATGGATCGAAAACATGTGGGAATGTATGCAAGAAGCGAACACGTCGTTGTGTGTTATTGTCTTCGTATTGATCACGGTGATAGGAAAACTTGTGGTATGTTTCTTAGATTTTTTTTTCAAAAAGAAAAATCCCTACATGCCTGTCAAATGCATTACTTCTTTTGCAAAACTTTACTAGTAAAAATTATTATTCTAAATATAATGCCAAATAAATATTTGAAATGCTCATTCAAATCTTGTTTGAAAAAAGTATGATAAGCATGACAAAAACCTCTTTGACACATATTACTCATTTGACTGATGCCCCAACATCGATTTCATTCCAGAAGATTATTCTAAGACAATAGTATCCTCTCCCCCAGTGATTGGCTCAAATAGGAGTTTGGGACTTGATTTGGTCAATAAGATGTAAAGAGATGTCCATTGGAGAAACTGGAGAACGATATTTTGTCCTTTTTTTTTTTCTTTACTTTTGAGACAGAGTCTTGCTCTGTCACCAGGCACCAGGCTGGAGTGCAGTGGCACAATCGCAGCTCACTGCAATCTCCGCCTCCTGGGTTCAAGCAATTTTCCTGCTTCAGCCTCCCGAATAGCTGGGACTACAGTGGCATACTACCACACCCAGCTAATTTTTGTATTTTTTAGTAGAGACGGGGTTTCACCATGTTGGCCAGGATGCTCTCGATCTCTTGACCTCGTGATCCACCCACCTTGGCCTCCCGAAGTGCTGTGATTACAGGTGTGAGCCACCGCGCCCAGCCAAACCTTTTGTTCTTAAAAAATATGTGTTAAAAAAAATGATCCTTTTACTTCCTCTGGGCTTTTTTATGACCATGACCCCTGGAAAAGCCAGATCATGAGGTTGGAACTTTGGTGGAATTGCCCACAAAAATATGGATCTGACATCTAGGACTACTGTGCAACCCTCTCCTGTTTGCGCAGATTGAGAGGTGGTATAGTTTGTGCAGTTTCTTTAGGTCCTGTTGCCTTAACTTCTGTGAGGGTTAGTGCCGGGCCAAACCAAACATTATGCAACCATGAGAAGAACCAGGCTAAAACAAAGCCAACACTGAGGCAGGTGGAGTGAAAAGAGAGAACAAACCTGTGTTTGTGTTATAGTTGGTCCCCTGTTCTATTTCCAAACTTCTTGTTATGCTACAGATTTTTGTTGTATAAGCTGGTTTAAGTCTGTTACTTGTAGCTGGAAGCATAGATATTTATGGGGACGCTAATTAAGTGTACCTCATACCCTTACTACACAAGCTCTGCAGGATCAAGTTGGTGCAATGGTGCGATATAACTAACTCTCTACATATGATAGCTTTATCCTAAGTACCTAACAAATGGTGTACATAGATAGTAAGTGGTACATACAAAAGCTCAGAACAGGGCCTCACCAATGGGAGTGGGAGGAGAGCACTGAGAAAGGAGTTGTGGAAGATTACAGAACTTGAGAAGACCACTTCTAAGGAAAGGAGGACTTAGACAAATAGAGGAGAGCTTAAGCAAAGATCCAGAGATGGGAACTCTCACAGTGAAACTGAGGAACTGTGACTAGACCCATTCACACCCACCAGGCACTTCTCCTCAAAGGCTGTCTGTTGTTGAGCTAAAGAGAGCCACAAACGAAGGAATTTGAGGAGGCAAAGAGGATGAATAAGAGGGTGTGTAATTATGAGCAAAGAACCCAGGTAGGATGCTATTGAGATTACCTGATTTTGAAGTGGTATTTGTTTCAGCAGAAGAGATGCAGATTTGGTCCAACCCCCTTGGCTTGGCCCCAGTACGTTCCTGAGGTTAGGGCAACAGGACCGGAAGAGACTGCAATGTACATCATCTCACAAATATGCAAACAAGGAAGGACTGCACATTGGTCTTGAGTATCAGATTAATATCCTTGTGGGAAATTCCAGAAAAAAATCAAAGCTCACTATCCAGCTGTTCCCCAAGAAATGTATGTTCTTAATTTTGCGTCATGGTTATCTCCTGCTTTTCCCTGGCCAGGGTCTACTCATCCATGTTGTCTGTATGTAGGAAACTGGACTTGGCCATTGCACCCTTTAATTTCATTTTTTATTCTGTCTTCCTGCTTCTATTTCTTTCTCAATCTTCTGTTCTTTTATTTATTGTATATTCGAACTTTCTTAGGAGACGGCAGAACATAAAACTCTCACTTGATTCTGTTTTTAGTTCTGGGGAAAAGTTGTTCTGGAAACCTGCTGTATCCTTTCCTTTGCTAAACTTTCCATTCTTCTTGTTACCCACCCCATCCTCAGGTGCTCAACCTCTTCATTGCCTTACTGCTCAATTCCTTTAGCAATGAGGAAAGAAATGGAAGCGTAGAAGGAGAGGCCAGGAAAACTAAAGTCCAGTTAGCACTGGATCGATTCCACTGGGCTTTTTGTTTTGTGATACACACTCTTGAGCATTTTTTCCATAAGTGGTGCTGGAAGCAAAAGTCACCAAAGCAAAAAGAGGTGACAGGAGGCTGTGCTGCACAAAGCAAAGACTTCATTCCCCTGGTCAGAGAGACGAAAAGGGGCTCAGAGACCCAGGAGGAGCTTGGTATTCAAGCCTCTGTACCAAAGACCTTGGGCGTCGGGCACGATCGGACTTGGTTGGCTCCACTTGCAGAGGAGGAAGATGATGTTGAATTTTCTGGTGGAGATAATGCACAGCCCATCACACAATCTGAGGCTGAACAACAGGTATGAAGGTTCACACATAGGCTTAGAGGTCATACAAAGCTGAAGCTGCCACAGGGCACTGGTTGCCTGCCCTGTTCTGGGCACTATGCAAGGATAATAAGGGTGTAAAATGTGGCTGCCCTTGGATACCCACGTGCACATCTCGGGGCAAGTTCCTTATTGTGGTCCTACAGGTGTGGCACAGATAGGAGGTGCCACAAGAGTGCAGAGGGGACTATCAAATGTACTTTGATTTTCTTTTCTTTTTTTTTGAGACGGAGTTTCACTCTTGTTACCCAGGCTGGAATACAATGGCGCAATCTCTGTTCACCGCAACCTCCACCGCCTGGGTTCAGGCAATTCTCCTGCCTCAGCCTCCTGAGTAGCTGGGATTACAGGCTTGAGCCACCGTGCCTGGCCTGTTTTTATTTTCTATATATTGAATTATATTTATATTTTAGCTTATTTTCTAATTTTTCTTATGATTTCTCTTTGACCCACTGCCTATTTAAAATTGTTTAATACTTATAAATTTCTCAAATTTCTATTTGTTATTAATTTCTAATTTCACTCCATTGTGATCAGAGAGCATACTTTCTATAATTTCAGCCCTTTTAAATTTTCAAGGCTTGTTTTATAGACTAGTGTATTGTCTATCCTGGAGATGTTTCCTGTATACCTGAGAAGAACATGTATTCTGCCATTTGGAATCAAGTGTCCTATAGATGTCTGCTAGTTTTAACTGGTTTGTAGTTTTGTTCAAATCTTCCATTTCCCTGTTGATCTTCTATCTAGTTGTTATTCATTCATTTCTGAAAATGGGGTATTGAAGTCTGCAATGTTTATTGTTGAATTGTCTGTTTCTCCCAACAATTACGTCACTTTTTGCTTCATGTATTTTGAGGCTCCTCTGTTAGTTTTATATATGTTTATAAATGCTACATCTTCCCGATATTTTGACTCTTTTATTATTATAAAATGTCCCTCTTTATCTCTAGCAAGTTTTTTTATTTTGGATTTTAGCTTGTCTGATGTTAAAAGAGTCATCCCAGCTTTTTAAATGGTTGTTGTTTGTGTTACATGTCTTTTTCCATCTTTTTACTTTCAATCTATTTATATCTTTGAATCTAAAATTCAAACTGTCCTCCTCAGTGTATAATTGACTCTTGCTGTCTCATCTATTCTGGGAATCTCTGCCTTCTGTTTGGGTTGTTAACCCATTCATATTTAATGCTTTTATTAATATAGTTGATGTACTTCTCATATTTTCCCCTTTTCTTCTATTTTTTTCTTTATTATTTCTATATTGCCTCATTTTCATTAAGTGAATATTTTCTAGTATAATGTTTTAATGTCTTTAGTACTTTTTGTTTTACCATCTTTTTGAATTATTTCTTTATTTGGGTGTTCTAAAATTTGACATATATATCTAATTCATCAGAATCTATCTCAGATTTATATTAATTCCAGTAAGCTATAGAAATATTACTCATATATAGCTCTATTTCCTCTCTCTTCTTTTTGTACTGTTTTTAATTATACATATCATATCCATATATATTAAAATTCAAACAATATATTTTTATTATTACTTAATATAGTTAGATGTCTACTAAAGAAGCTCAGAAAAGAAAAGAGTGAGATTTATTTTAATAATAATAAAATAATTAAAATTTTACTTTAATATTTATAAGATTTATTTTAATAAACTTTTTAGCTACTGTTAAGTGTACTCTGAATGAGAAGACCACCTAAACAGACTTTGTGTGAGCAACAAGGCTGTTTATTCACCGGGTGTGAGTGGGCTGGGTCTGAAAAGAGGGTCAGCAGCGGGTGTGGATAGGAGCTGGTTTTATAGATTGAGGGTAAGTAATGGAAAGTTACACTTTAGGGTGGTTAAAAAAATTTTTTTTATTATGCTTTCAGTTTTGGGGTACATGTGTAGAACATGCAGGTTTGTTGCACAGATATACCTGTGCCTTGGTGGTTTATAGGGTGGTTTTTTGCAAGCCGGGGGTGGGGGGTGTCACAGGGTCCAACATCACAAGGTTAACTTACCAGTTGAGGCAGGAACAATGGTAGAATGTTGCAAGGTCAGTTAATCAGGCCACAGGGTGCAGTGTCACAAGGTCGACTTATCAGTTGAGGCAGAACAATTGTGGGCTGTCATAAGGTCAGTTAATCAGGCCCTGCAGGAGCTAGCTACCCTTCTCCTTTTTCAGTTTTCTTGTTAGCTCAGGATTTCTGGCTCTGGGAGGCTATCTGGAGGTGTACGTGAGGGTCACAGGTGTCACCATGGCCTAACTATGGTGTAGTCCGTGGTGCAGTCAGTTCAAAGAACCTTGCAGTTACTTTGGCTCTCTTCATTTGTTCCTGTGAACGTGAGTTACCTGCAGGTGTGATTTCCTTACTCCAATGCAACGTTGCTTCCACCCATATCCTTTGTGCTCATATTAGCAAATATATTTTATTTCCTATGTTACATACCCAGCAACACAATTTTAAACATATTGTTTTACACAATTGCTTTTGAAATCAGCTAAAAGAAGAAAGGAAAAGAAATCTTTTTACCATACATTTGTGTGTGTGTGTGTGTGTGTGTGTGTGTGTGTGTGTGTGTGTGTTGTGTTGGGGGGGTGTTCTATTACCACTTAGGGTCACTTTTTTTTCAGTCTGGAAGATCTCTTTTAGTATTCCTTATAAGGTAGGCCAACTACCAAAGAATTCTCTCTGTTTATCTGGAAATGTGTTTATTTCATTTCGATTTTTGAAAGATAGCCTCACTAGATATAAAAATCTTGGTTCACTGTTGTTTTTTCTTTCAGCACTTTGAATATATCATATCACTGCCTTTTGGCCTCCATTATTTCTAATGCGAGGTCAGTGTTAATTTCATCCGTGTCATCTTGTACATGATGAACCACTTTTCTCACGCTACTTTGAAGATTTTCCCTTTTCTTTGTCCTCCAGCACTTTTACTATGATATATCCAGGTGTGGAACGCTGTGTTTTTTCTACTTGGGGTTTCATTGAGCTTCTTGGATGTGGAGTGCTAGGGTCTGAATGTGTCCTCTAAAGTTCACGTGTTAGAGAATTAATTCCCAAAGTAGCAATGTTGAGAGGTTAGATTACGAGAGCTCTGGCCTCATGAATGGCTTAGTGCTGTTGTGGGAGTGGTTTAGTTACTGTGGGAGTGGGTTCCTAATAAAAGGATGAGTTTGGCCCCTTCCCTCCTTTCTCTGTCTTGCCGCGTGATGTTGCAGTGAGAAGTCCCTCACAGGATGCTACCCTTTTGATCCTGGTCTTCTCAGCTTCTAGAACTATAGGAAATACACCTCTGTTCTTTATGAATTACTTCAGGAATTCTATTCTAGCAGAATAAAATGGACTAAAATGTGTAGATTAATGTTTTCAATCAATGTTGAGGAGTGTCCAGCCATTACTTACTTAAGTATTTTTTCTGCTCCTTTCTCTCTTTCCTTTCTGGTTTGTATGCTTAACGGTGCTTTCTCTGAGGCTCTATTTTCTTTCTTCTGGGGTGTGTGTGTGTGTGTGTGTGTCCTCTTTAGATTGCACAGTCTCCATTGATTCATCTTTAAATTCACTGGTTCTTTCTTCAAATGTACTGTTGGTCCCTCTAGTAACTTTTTCATTTCAGTTATGATACTTTTCTTTTCTTTTTTTTTTTTTTTAAACAAAGGCACATCTGTTTTATTAAATGCTTGGGGTTAGGGGTGTGGGAGATCACAGAGTGATTACCCCAACCCCACAATGTGGTACAGAAGCTTAGGTTCCTTTTTCATAGGGGAGCCAGAGCACATTTCTAAGGGCCGGCCTGGAGAGAGAACAGCTGCAAGGACTCTAGGAAGAAGCAGATGAAATAAAGGATGGCATGTAGGAGTCTTTCTTATATGTGTATGTATGCCAGAATTATCACATGTTTGATGCATTCAAACAATTCAGAAGAGCTCTGGGGGTCCTTAGAGGTGCACTGAGGTCAAGGAGCTTGGAGGGGACTCAAGCAATAGACTTCTCCCCAGCAGAACCACCCTGCACTTGGCTGCTTTTCAGGGTAGAGTTTCCGTTACAGAGTTTGAAAATCACTTGAAATCTCCCAGAAGCAAATTCTAAAAACATTGTCAATAAACACAAAATTCAACCACCCTAGCCCTAGCACACAGCATGGAAATGCAGCTCCATTAAGCTAGTTAGTTACAGGGCCACACAACTGTAGTGTCCTGGGTTGCATTTTGAAAATCCAGCTACCTTGGGGTTCCCACTACCTAAGATCTTTAAATTCTGGACTCTAAAGCCCTGGCCTTTTCATGGATTCAGATTTAGTAATAAACAATAAGGCCTGATAATTCTTTATTAATTTAAATATAACTGACTACAGCAATAGTTCTAAAAAATGACATAAATTAAACATCAAAGTCTATGCATATTGTATCAGTGACTTGGCTTGAAAAATCGAAAATGACTAAGTATATTCACAAGGGTAAACCACACTGTATGGTAATTCTAGGTGATGAAGAAAAATAGTAAAAAACAAAGATCTTCAAGAGTCTTCTAAGACAAACCGCAAGAACACCACTGAAACTATTTTCTGGAGTTCTGTGTAAGAATTCATTTCAAAATAACTCAAAGTTTTTACCTTAGGAGTCGGTGGGATCCTCAGCTGGAGAGGGACGTGGGGCAGGCGGTACTCTGAGGTGGGTCCTGTGAGGGGAGGGGCTTGCTCCCAATCCAAGTGGGAGAGCATCTTAGCTTCATCACTTTTCTGGGTGACTCTCTCTTTTCTGGTGGTCATGATGACTCTGCGCCTGGTCACCTCGGAGGTCAAATCCTTGTAGGGGAGATTAATGGTGTTGTCCACGGGGCTTTTCTGAGCCATGACCTTGCACTCAGGGGATCTGAGGAATTTAGGGTTACTGCAGCTTTTAATCTCAGGTCAGCTTTTACATGTCAACTCATGGATTTGCTACAAAACGTCCTCATGGCATTTTTTACCCACATACCAGCTACTCCACCTGAGATGAAGGACAGTTAGCGCTAAGGTGCTGTTACGTGTCCATCAAGTGTGCTGTCAGCTCCCTTGAGCAGCTCTTGAGTCTCTGAACTTGGTTCCAGTTATGATACTTTTCAACTACAAAGATTCTACTTGGTTCTCTTTAAAATATAATTTATATTGATATTTTGTATTTGATTGTACAGTGTCATACCTTTTATTTCCTTAAGCACTGTACCTTTAACTCTTTAAATGTATTTATAACGGCTTCTTTGCATTCTTTGTCCATTACCTCTGAGGTCTTGACCCTTTCATGTGCAGATTTTGTTACTGACTTTTTCCCCCTGTGTGGATCATAAGGTGGGGATGGGGAAGTTTTCCTGTTGTTTTTTTTTTCATATTTCATAATGTTTGTTAAAAATTGGACATTTTAAGTAGCATATTGTGAAAACTCTGTAACTGATTCCCGTTTCTCCTCTCTGGGGCCTCTTTATTAAATGGTAATCCGGCTAGCCTATTTTAGTGGATCTGCTCCCTCTCCAACCCATCCCCCTCTGTTCACACACAATGTGAAAGCTTTGGTGTCACTCCTAGGAGAGCAGATCCATGGACGTGCACACAGTCAGTCTAGGATGACTGCTATTTCAGCAAGACAATCTTCGACTGTCTCCTGTGATCTCTCTGTTAAGCTGTCTGCCACACTTAGATTTTAGGCTCAACTAAGTGCTAGATAATTGCTCTGTTTTCCTTGACAATGCCATGGGGCATAAATTGCTCAATTATCTGATTCAATTAAATTCAGAAAGTGATAGCTTTTAAGTGCTGCCTTTCAGATTTGTTTTGACCCCAGGGGGACTCTACTTAGCTGTCTCTTGCCATACTTTGTGGTGAACTTGCTGACCTATGTTTCAGTTTGTTTCCTTTAATGAAGGAGAGCTACCAGTCTCTTCTTACTTGCTTACCATCAAACTATCCGTTGTTTTCAAGAGCACTCTTAGACTCTTACTTTCCCACACCACTTAGTTTCAGATAAAGTCTGTTCTACTGAGAGCTTCAGAGCCTTTTTTCTTGGGAATTGCCTCCCACTCTGGGCAAAATCGCTCACACAGAATTCCAGGCACTTGGGCAGGAGCAGTAGCCTCTCAACTTCTCAGCTTCCTTCTTTCCTAATCCTTCCCACCCCCAGAACAAAATTTTGCCATACAAGTAAGCTGGAATGAGGGTGATTCTAGTGTTCTTGGGCTGCACTTCTGGGATAAAGTCTCTGCCCTATACGTGGAGGGCTAGATAGAAAAAGGAAGCCAACTTTTTGGCCACGCTCACCAGAAATTTAGAGGGCTTAACTCAGAATTGGAAGAGATAAGAAATGCTGGTGGCTTGCAGCTCTTTTTCTTTTTCTTTTCCAATAACTCACGCATTTTTATTGGTAGACATTTCTTGGTGTTGTAATCATTTATGTACTGAAAAATGGGATTATCATTTTAATAATACTAAACAGCATTTCTTTATTTCAAGTGCATTGAATGACTACCATGTGCCAGGACTTGCCCTGAGATAAAATACATATGCAATAGGCATTTTTTTTTTTTTTGAGGCAGAGTTTCACTCTTGTCACCCAGACTAGAGTGCAATGGTGAAATCTTGTCTCACTGCAACCTCTACCTCCCGGGTTCAAGCAATTCCCCTGCTTCAGCCTTTTGAGTAGCTGGGATTACAGGCGTGCACCACCATGCCTGGCTAATTTTGTATTTATAATAGAGATGGAGTTTCACCATTTTGGCCAGACTGGTCTTGAACTCCTGACTTCAGGCGATCTGCCCACCTTGGCCTCCCAAAGTGCTGGGATTATAGGCATGAGTCACCTCAACTGGCCTGCAATACGTAATTTAACATGTAGGCTGTATTTTTTTTAAATGTAAGCATTTAAAAAGATTTTCCTTTTATGCAGAGATCATTGATGTGCCTTTCCATTCAAAAGGCTCAATATCTTTTGTCAATTTTGTTAAAAAAAAATTTTAAATTTCAATAGTTTTTGGGGAATAAGTGCTTTTTGGTTACATGGATAAGTTCTTTAGCAGTGATTTGTGAGATGTTGATGCACCCATCACCATATCCCTTGACTGGGAGCTAGGATAGAGGGAGCCCTATCTTCATTGCCACCTCTGTCTGGAGTGGAGCCTCCATAAAACTTGGCTGGAAGGGTCAGGGGAGGGGGAAGATCAGATTACGGCTTAAATATCATCAATTGCTACCATTCTTATGAATTTTAGTAGATTTTCTTGAGCAAATGTTTCTTCATTTGCTGTACACTCTCAGAATAATTTCCAGAGACTTTAAGTATTTTTAAAACAGTTTTCACCACGTATTTCCCAGGAGAGAAGGTCCACAGAGATTCTCATGCTCTCATCCAGGAAGTGAAACTCTATGTGACTTCTTCATTAAATTCTAAATGTGTTAATTTAAAGACATTTTCAGATTATTGTGTTGCTTTCATCTTCTAGTCGCGAATTTTACGAAGTCTACTGATTTTATGTTTGTTTCCTCAGGTATTTTGGAATGTCAGCTTAAAAGCTCACCCTCAGCGGGAGGATCTGCCACCCTCTTTGCAGACTAAGTTCTATGATTGTCTCTAATAAACCCTTCTGTGACATCCATTTCAGAACCACGTCTCATATTGCCAACTTTGGATTCTTATCCAATAGTGATACAAGTCATAGTGCAGCTTGAGTCACTGAACCAGTGGGTACCTTTGCCAGGCCCTGTTTCTGAGGTTGTACTTCTTCCTGTCTCCCTAAGTGTGCAGCTTTGTACAGTTGTAGTTACAAGCATTTGCTACACTGTTTTGTTTTTGTTTTTGTTTTTGACTTTCTCTCTGAAGTGCAAGAACTTTACCTCAGTCCGCAGTTTCAAGCCTTAACTATAGCTCTGGTTCCCTTCCTCATACAGTGTACTTTTAGACAACATTACATGCTATCTTATTTAAATTCTTACTACTTTATATATCTTTTCGGTGTCTAGTGCATAGATAGATTACCCCCTTTTGTATTTGTATGTTTGTAAGATATATTTGTGGCTATATTTGTATGTGTCCGTATTTTTATATATGCCATTACATGTGTGGAGAAATGTTCCTGAACTCTGACCTTATAATGTCAAAGTTGCAGGAGTCTTCACATAGATGTTAGGATACAACCTTCACCCAGATGTGGCTATAACCAGCAGAAGGGTCTGGCTGGCAGCTGCCTATGAAAATAATTCAAAATAATAACAAATTATGATAAGAAAGAGCAATATTCTGTTATTGTCTGTACTGGCAAGGGGAAGAGCAGAGAGCCATTCTACTCTTCAATTTGTGGAAGGAATGTGGGGGTTTTTAAAGAACGGGTTTGAGATGCAGAATAGGCGAGAGGAACTAGGAGGTACCAGGAGGTGTGACTTGCTCCGCTTGAATTATTGCCCCATTTGGTGAAGGGGCTGGCGCCATCATGGATCCTGCCAGATTATAAACTAGTTGCAGTCAATCTTGTAGTCACTCTACAGCCAGGAGTAAGTTCCGTTCTTGAAATAACCTTTTGTTGGAGAGAGAATTCCAGAGGTACCTGGTCCCTATGGGATCTGACTCATGAAGCTTCTAAGAAAATATATGACCAGATAAAAGAACATGGTGTGTGCTTAAAAAGTGTTTAGGTAAATAAGTGTGCATAAGGCATGGGAGTGTAGCATGGGAAAGGACAGGAAGTGGAGGTTCACAGCACATTCTGAGGTTGTATTTCAAGATGAGAGGTAACACACATGCAGTTTGTCTCAGAGTTACATCTTGAAACTTGGAGGGGAAAGAGGAAGCGGAAAAGAAGAAAAAGAGTTTAAAACACAGTTTGAGGCGCAGCTGCTAAGCTGCTTGGTTACGTGCTCGAATGAATTTACACGTCCTTCTTAAATATCCCTGTGGGTCATCAGACAAAATTTATTTTTCAGTTTTATGTAGTGATATATTTTCATATTTTTCCTTATGCCTTTTTGTTTCCTATTTTGCTAAGGAAACTCTCTGTACCCCACATGATAACAAGTTATTTTTCAAAATTTTCATTCATTTATTTTTACATCAGAATACCATATGATTATATATATATATATTTTTGCTATATTATGGCATTGTGTATCATTTATTAAGTAACTTATTATTTAGCCATTGACTTGAAAGGGCACATTTAAAACACATTAAATCCCCATATAAGTTTTATTTCTGAATTACTTGCTCAGTTTTGTACCAGAACCATACTGTTTTGATTATGTATCTTTGCAACAAGTTCAAAATCTGTTTCCTCTAGTAGTTGTCCCAGAATTCTATTACATTGATTCTTCCAGGAGCAGGTTTTTTTTTTTTTTTTGATGTAGTTTCACTCTTGTTGCCCAGGCTGGAGTGCAATGGCGCAATTTCCACTCGCCGCAACCTCTGCCTCCCAGGTTCAAGTGATTCTCCCACCTCAGCCTCCCGAGTAGCTGGGATTACAGGCATGTGACACCATGCCCAGCTAATTTTGTATTTTTAGTGGAGACAGAGTTTCCCCATGTTGGTCAGGCTGGTCTTGAACACCCGACCTCAGGTGATCCACCCACTTCAGCCTCCCAAAGTGCTGGGATTACAGGTGTGAGCCACCACACCTGGCCAGGAACAGTTTTTAAAGAGAAAAAAGAGTTATAATGTCAAAGGCTTATTCTCATGACAAACAGAAAACCAAACAGCATTCACACTTCTTTCATCTTAAGTGACATGTCCAGGAGGAATATTAATTCTGTTCTGGGCTTTCTGTGTTAGGCCTGTGAACTACATCAGGAGACCAAGAAGCCCATCAGCCAGAGAGTTCGAAGTGTGGAAATTGACATGCTCTCTGAAGATGAGCCTCATCTGACCGTACAGAATCCCCGAAAGGTAATTTTCCTAGGATGTTGTCAGAGGAACTTGTGGCTCATCCACAAACCTTCTCCGGGGTTGGCATTATGGAAAAATGGTAAAATAATGCAGAGAAAATTGCAAGAATTGAGTCTTGAGCAAAAGTCTAGGCCAGGTTTCTCAACTTTACTGCTATTAACATTTGGAGCAGGACAATTATTTGTGTGGCGAGCTTCTCTGTGAATTATGTTTATCCATATGCTTGGCCTCTATGCATTTGATGCCAGTAGCATCCTTCCATTGTGATAATGAAAAATGTCTCTAGACTGGAGTGTCTCCTGGAGGGCCAAAGAAATCAGAACCACTGGTCTAGGCCTATTATTCCAGGAGCTGAGACATTGGAAAATTATAGTCTCAGTAAAGTAGCCTTCTTCTCATCACCTAACTGGAGTTAGGCAGCCTATCAGGTTTATGATATGTAGGGAGAAAAAGTGGAGGTACTGTATCTTCACGTGCCTTGCTATTCCTCAGTTACAGAGATGAGATAGAGGGTTCTCTTCTAAAGTCAGGCTGATCATAGCACTTAGAAAAGGACCCAGCAGGAGGGGTGTATCTTGACACCTCTCATCCTAGAAACCTTTGCCTAGTTCATTTCATCCTTAAAAATCAGACAGTGATGCACCTGTATACCTATGTAACAAACCTACACACTCTGTACATGTACCCTAGAACTTAAGTATAATTTAAAATATATATTATAAAAATATATGTATAATATATAATATATTAAAATATATATTACATATATTATTAGTATATATTATAAATTTATATTTTATATACATAAATCAGACACTGAGAAACTCAGGACTAACGTGGTGAGAGAAGATCTTAGTAAATAGTACCCCTTCCTTTTGTTCTGATGTGCAGAAGTCTGATGCTACCAGTATGCTATCAGAATGTAGCACCATTGATCTTCAGGATGCCTTTGGATGGTTACCTGAGATGGTTCCCAAAAAGGAACCAGAGAGATGTTTGCCCAAAGGTAAGTGGCAGTATTTCTGCATCCAGTTCATAGAATCTTTGGGTGGGATTTCTGTTCTTCTTTGAAGCTTCGTGGTTTTAGCAGATATCATCATTCTACTTCTACTGGAGACAAAAACAATGAGAGACACCCACTGATTCTCACGACAATTGTCAGGTCTAGGCAGAGGGGATTTCAGGAAATTCTTGCTTTAAGTAGGCTTCTCTCACATGGCCCAACATGCCATGTAAACAGTCTAGAAAACTTTCTTAGAAAGCCCACTGGGCCAATATATCTGCCACTTTCTATGGTTCCCAGGGCATTTAATGTCAGGGTATATTTGAAGTCATAGACTGAGAAAAGATCTCGGATATGGTATTCAAGATCTTTAGCTTAGAAGCCAGATTCCCTGAGCTCAAATTCTGGCCTCTCCACTTATGAGCTGTGTGACTTGTTCAATTTATTTAACGTCTCTGTGTTTTATTTCTAAAACGAGGGCAAAAATTGTACCCAAAGCAGAGTTGTTGTGAGCATTAAATGAGTGAGCATTTAGAAGAGCATCTAGAACAAAAATAAGCAATCAATAAATGCAGCCTTTCCTAATTCCTTGAGTGGATGTAGTGGCTTTTTCCTGTGGGCCTTTACTATTTCTTTTACTCATTGTAGTGAACTTATTTGCACTGATTTCCCCCATGGGGTCCTTAAAAACAAAAGCAGTGACTTCATCAGCATTGTATGTCTAGTGTAAGAGTAGAAGCTGGCCCAGAAATGCATTCAACACGTGCTGATAAATAAATAAGTAACAAAATATTTATGAATTAATCTAAAAAATCATAAGTTTAGGACTAAATTAGGTCCAGAAGAACACAAATAATGTGTTTCAAGCTCACGTTCCAGGTTGTTTAACAGCTCCAGAGCTGGACAAGAGATGGATTAGGGATTTCCAGTAGATTGCAGTTCTCCTGATTTATGTTTGCACTGGCCCTTGAGGTGTGCATAGGATGCCAACAGTGGAGATGAGAAAGAAAGGTGGTTTATCAAAGAAGGGAGGGGTGGGATAAAATCCAGTTAAAAAAGGTAGTCTTTTAAGAAGGTGAACCTACTGATGTTCTTAGAGGAAGGAAAGAGGCAGAGTGAAGACAACCCACAGTGGCTTAAGAAGATAAGGAAAGGAGCAGAATGTTATAATCATCATGAAGTGAGGACTTGCAGAATCTGTACAAGGGGAGGAAGAGAAAAGGTGGAAAGGGTGATGGGTCTATGCTGAAGGCTTGCGTGTGTTGAGAACAAATGCTCAGCTCTTTGTAAACATCTTGACATTTGATCACATTCTTTCATGTATGGCCTGAGTGGTTCACAAAGCCTGTGGCCATCCTACTTCATTCCCTGGAGTCCTCCAGACCTGATCTGTTTACAACAACCAAAAAAAAAAAAAAATGTTGCATAACAAATACAAAACCTCCGTGGCATACAATGACCAACAGGTGCCTGCAGGATTCAGCTGATCTTGGCTGGCTTCATTCATGCAAGTGTTATCTAGCCTGGGCTTGACTGGGCATCATGGCTGTGCTCCACATTCTATCATCCTCCTTCCAGACCCAGTGGGGTAACCTGAATATGCTTTGTTTTTATGGAGATGGCACAAGACAGACAGCGAGTAGAAAACATGCAAGGCTTTTCAAGGCCTGGGCTCAGAACTGGCACAGTGTGACTTCCATTCCACTCTGTTGGCCAAAGCAAGTCACATGGCCGGGCCAGATTTAAGAGGATAGGAAAAGACGCTCTACTTCTTTAATGGGAGCAACTGTAGGTCACATGGCAAGGGGTGTGAACACAGGGAGGGGTGAAGAGTTGCTTTTTAATGTAATTTATTACATATATTAATGATAGTGCTACCGTTAATTCCTTTCAGGCCTTGGTTGCTGCCTTCCATGCTGTAACATAGACAAGAGAAAGTCTCCCTGGGTCGTTTGGTGGAACCTGCGGAAAACCTGCTACCAAATAGTGAAACACGGCTGGTTCGAGAGCTTTATTATCTTTGTGATTCTGCTGAGCAGTGGGGCACTGGTAAATCATCATAGTCTTGTGAAGACATTGGGCATCAGGGCAGCTGGGGAAGCTGCACTCTGACTTGACTTCTCGCGGGTCTCTGACTGTGGGAGACCAGGCAGAAGTGGTCTCCGGTGCTGCTGGTTCCCACAGGGGGCAGGGTTTTGCACAACTTCTGAAGTCAGGCTCAATTGGGATATCCCCAAGCAAAGATGCTTTATCTGCGTGGAAGAGTAACTCAAACCAGCGCTTTAAAGTGGCCACTGGAGTTTTGTCCTTGATCATCTATCCCTCAGTTTTGGAGGATTTCTAGACATTTTCACTGTATCCTACATAGTTCCTCCTCTAGACAGCAATGCTTCAACTCCTCCTGTTACCATAAACCATAGTGCTGTTTTCTAAAGGGTAAAATATTATGGGAGGGAGTTACAGGGACCAGATTTGGGTATAGTAAGTTGCCTTGGTATTTTCCATTATTCATGATCCCTTGAAAGAAAGGACAAGGAGACACTGCTTTATACTCATGATCAAAGTGCGGTATGAGTCCCATGAGGTTTGGAAGTGACTCTGAACCCATCAGCTTCCATAGCCATGGAGCCATCACTCCTTTATGCTCTCTTCCCATACCTTCTGGTCCTTCCTGTCTCCCTTCCCTCCCTGCTAAGGGATAGTGTCTTTCCTCTTATCACCTGTGTATTTCTCCCTCTCCTTTTCTATTTTCTGCTTTTTCTATCACATATCTTCCTTTAAAAAGACCATACAGTAATATGGAGCTAAATAATATGGAACCAAACTCTCTTACAGTTTGACATAACAAACATTTATAAGTTTGTTATGGGAGTTTGATTCCGTATTACTAAACCCAGGAGTCTTGGGTTCTCCCCTACTAAGAGTGACAGAACATTTCACAGAGAGTCACTAGCAAGTGGAAAAGACAAGGAAATACCTCACTCCTACACCCCATAGCTTCTGGTTAGTGTTTTATACCTGTGTGATCTCTAGGTGAAAAGAGATGAATATGTAACAGAGCCCACTGGGGACTGCGATCAACATACATCATTTGTCTACTTACTACAATGTCAATTATTCTTCAACCAGAGCAGCAGATTTCTCTAAAAGCATCCCAGAGAATTCCCTTGATCAATTTTTATCATTAATCTTTGGTCAAGGGTTACCCGTACACTTTCTGGTGACTACATTTTCACTGGCTGTCTACTCTGATTCAAGTGGTAGAGTTTCTTGTATTTATTCCACATATGATTCTTATAACAGGCAGTGGGAAAGCAGCAATGTTGTCAAAAGGCCACAGCAAAAATGCCCCGTGGTGCCATAAAAAGAAAGTTTATGATCAGAAATGTAGAAGAGGCAAACAACCCCAGTTCTCACCTGCCTTCAGAAAGGCAGGTGTAGGCTGGGCAGAGCAAGGCTGAATACACAATGCAGAGGGTGCCAGGAGAAGGACCCAGCCCCTGTTTCTCTGTACATATTCGTAGAGAATGAGTGCAAGAGACATCAAGTCCTTTGCCACTGTATGTGTCTATCAGCAGCAGCAGCAACACCTGGTAGCTTGTTAGAAATGCAGAGTAGTATATTGTAACAAGCAGTGCATTGTAACAAGTTCCCTAGGTGATTTGGGGTTCATTCGAGTTTGAGACACTCTGGTGCAGGCAACTATGTAATAATAAGAGATTCCTAGGTCAGAAAATGGCCTAGATATAATATGGAAGCCTCTGAAATTCAGTTGCAGGTATAAGCCTGCTCATCCATGGAGCTGACTTAGATCTGCTGAGCCAGCTTACTGTTAAGCTTCCCAAATATGGGAGGAAATGAGCACCCAGTACCATTCAGATTTGTCTGTCCTCAAGAGGCAAACAAACAGGTAGGACACTGACCTCCAGGAGCTTGAAGTCTAGTAGGAAAGATAGCTGGAGCGATTAGATCAGAAAGCATAGACCAAGATAGATAGGACAATTAAGTGACCTACTCAGGGAAGCAGTGGGTGGCATGAAAGCATGTTGGATGGGAACCTAACCCAGTCCGTCTGGAACAGGACAGTTTCCTGTAGAAAATATCAGCTGCACTGAAATCTTAAAGTTGAAGAAGAGGTGAAAGAGCAGAGGATGAGATAGAGGGCCTTCTCCAGTCAGAGACCCACTTGGCAGTTGGAAGCGAGACTGTTTTACTCTTTTGCATCCTTTTTTTACCCCAGGTCTATGGGGCTGTGGGCTACCTTTGTCCCCAACATCGAGGATGATTCCTGCCTTCAATGTTGGCCCAAATGTCATGGACAGCTTTAGTACCAGGCCCTCTTCCTTCTTTCATTCTCAGAAACTCTGTAAAGGCCAAAAGGACAGCTTATGCCCTAGTTATCTAGACACTGTAGAATCACATCCACTTTGAGTGAGGGAAGTGTTTGAATGTAGCATTCAAAAGGATCTCTCTGAAAGCCAGGATCTCTTTTTCATCATCACACATAACAATGGTTAACATTCAAGGTAATTTACACTGGGAGCTTTAGCCCAGAGTGTTCCAAATTTTATATGTCATGGCACACATACAAAATGACACTATTTGTAGGGAATGCTATGGTAAATGGATAAGGCCGTTTGTAGGGAGAGGGGCCTCAGGGTTGGCAGGATTTAGAGGGTGGGCTAAGGCGCTTGGACTTAATGTTATAAGCAGTAAAGAGACACTGAATTAATCCGCCTAGGTAATTGGGAGGATGAGAAACAGTCTGTGACACAGGGTGGGCCTGGAAATGTTGACAAGACATATTTGGCAGGAGTTGAAAGGATGAAGAAGTCCAGGAAACAAAGTGCTGATCCTTTAGGAAGATGTTTTCATATGCAAGGGCCAGTCAGAAGAAGCTGAGAAACTGCTGTGACAACAGAAGAAAGAGGACTTTCCTTCTTCCATTTTTACCTACTCAAGGAATAGATTCCATTGGAAAAGTTTAGCTTTAATATCTTTTGAGCAAACCTCATTTTACCAAGAGAGACACCAGTTTTTATTCACATAAGGAAGGAAAACAAAAAGTAAAGTCACCCAAAAGTTCTTTGCAAATGTTCAACCTGGCCTATGGCTGTTCCTTTTCATTTCAGATATTTGAAGATGTTCACCTTGAGGGACGACCCAAAATCCAAGAATTGCTAAATTGTACTGACTTTATTTTTACACATATTTTTATCCTGGAGATGCTACTAAAATGGGTAGCCTTCGGATTTGGAAAGTACTTCACCAGTGCCTGGTGCTGCCTTGACTTCATCATTGTGATTGTAAGTTTACTATCTCTGTGTCCCACACAGGCTGGGGTAGTGGTTGACACAGGGATCATATGGCGTTGCTTTTCCTTTGTGTCTCATATGGATGTCTGTCCAAAACATTGTTTCCTGTTATCATCACCTCTTCACAATACTTACAAGTAGCTGCCATTTGTCTATCAGCACTTTAGCCTTTGGTAGGTCCCACTCCTCACACGCTGCACTTCATATGCTCACCATTCCAACCTTTCCCATGGTGGGATTTATTCACTTCTCCCCATAAGCACTATTTATGTTTAATACATACTGAAAGTACCTTTCAGTATCCCTGATTTTTTTCTTCTTCCAATTTTCTATTTCTTTTCAAGACTTCTCAAAGCTGGTCAGCAGCCAATAGACTAGGCTAATATTCATCTTAATTGTCAAGCAACATAAGAGGATTGTTCACATACAGTCTCATTTAATGTGCATGACAGGGTCCTGAGTTAAGCAGCATTATATGACACCTCCTACACTGTATACACGGAAACCTGAAGCTCAGGGGATTAGCAATTTGTTTCATGACATAGAGCTGGTAAGTGGTGAAATTGAGATTCGCATGTATATCTGTATGACACAAAAGCTAATAATAGTATTAGTGGATCACATTTATTGAGTGCTTTCTCTGTACCGAGTATTCTTCCATATGCTCCAAATGCCTTTGCTCTTTTAGTTATCACAGCCTCTCTTTGTGGCAGGTACTACTCTTTGTATATTCAGAGGAAGAAAGTAAGTTATAGAGAGGCTAAGAAACATGCTCAGGATTGCACAGCTAGAAGTGGTGGAGGGGAGATACAAACCTAGTAAGCCTCACTCCAAAGAAGCTCTTGATTTAACATTACATCCTTTTTTTAGATTAATTTTATTTTTATTGATACGTAGTAGATGGACATATTTTCAGTATACATGTGATTATGTAATGCCTTTACACAATTAAACGTGGTAGAACCTAGTAAGTCTCACTCCAAGGCCCTTGACTTTAACATCACCTTCTTTCCATCAAGATATTATTAGTTAAACTTTGTCCCTGCCGTGCAAGGAAGCAGATCAGCCAAATGCATAAGCATAAACTGTGTGGTCAGCGAAGCCCGCTGGAGAGCTATAATGTTGGTTAGCACAAACAGATCATGTGATTATTTAATGTGCACATCAACATTCTGAGTTAATCAGTGTTACGTGACTTCTACCACATTGCAAACAAGAAACCCAGAAGCTCAGAGGCAAGGAAACAGAAGCTCACTGTGGTTCAGGCATCTTAGAAAGGTATCAATGCCATAGAAGCTCCAACAGGATTCAAAGATGGGAATAAAACCATCTGCATGTTGGTCAGTCCTATTAATTTCTAGTCTGTATCCATTATCTTAATAGATTATGGTTAAAAAAACCCTATAAACCATATGAACAGATGATCGTTATCTCTGTTATAGGGACCTGTGGTTTTAGGACTCAGTGGACCCTCTTTTTGTGTAACCTTAAGTAAAAATTTTCTCTCATTTAACAATAATTTTTTCATGGGTAAAAATGAAGATGTGGACTATAAATTGCCCAAATAGACTGAATACAAAATAGAAAACTAGTGAAAGTTTCACTAGAAATCTAGTGCTACCCATTAAAAATATCAAAACAGTAGTCCAAAGCCACACCGTCAAAAAAGGGTACCAGGCCAAGATGGGTGGATTTATTTATTATTTATTATATTTCAATAGGTTTTTGGGGAACAGGTGGTGTTTGGTTACATGAATAATTTTCTATTGGTGATTTCTGAGATTTTGGTGCCCCGTTGCCCAAGCAGTGTACACTGCACCCAATGTAATCTTTCATCCCTGTCTTTCATCTTTCACACCCTCCTTTCCCCTGAGTCCCAGAGTCCATTGTATTATTCGTATCCCTTTGTGTCCTTATATCTTAGGTCCCTCTTATGAGTGAGAAGATACAATGTTTGGGTTTCCATTTCTGAGTTCTTCGCTTAGAATAATAGTCTCCAATTTCATCCAGGTTGCTGCAAATGCCATTATTTTAGTCCTTTTTATGGTTGAGTGGTATTCCATGGTATACATATATGTGTGTATGTGTGTGTGTGTGTGTGTGTGTGTATAGATATATATATATACACACACACATACATACACACCATATTTTCTTTATCCACTAGTTGATTGATGGGCATTTGGGCTAAATGCATATTTTTGCAATTGTGAACTGTGCTGCTATAAACATGCATGTGCAAGTGTGTTTTTCATATAATGACTTCTTTTCTTCTGGGTAGATACACAGTAGTAGGATTGCTGGAGCAAATGGCAGATTTACTTTAGTTCTTTAAGGAGTCTCCACATTGTTTCCCATAGTGATTGTACTAGTTTAACATTGATCCAATTAAAATTTGTATCAATTTTTAAACGTTTCCAATTCACCGTAAAGAGCCTTGTTATGGCAACTGACTGACTAACATAACACATTTCAACTGACCACCATAACAAGATTCTTTACAGTTAATTTCCTCTATGAATCCACCTCCTGCCCCCACTCCAATCCAGGATCCAACTCAGGACCCCACATTATGTATTTTTTTTTTTTTTTTTGAGATGGAGTTTTGCTCTTGTTACCCAGGCTGGAGTGCAATGGCGGCGCGATCTCGGCTCACCGCAACCTCCGCCTCCTGGGTTCAGGTAATTCTCCTGCCTCAGCCTCCTGAGTAGCTGGGATTACAGGCACGTGCCACCATGCCCAGCTAATTTTTGTATTTTTAGTAGAGACAGGGTTTCACCAGGTTGACCAGGATGGTCTCGATCTCTTGACCTTGTGATCCACCCGCCCCGGCCTCCCAAACTGCTGGGATTATAGGCGTGAGCCACCGTGCCCGGCCACATTATGTATTATTGTTATATCTCTTTGGTTTCCTTTAATTCACAGCAATTTCTCAGATGTTCTTTGTCTTTCATTAAACAAATAACGTGAGTGCATCGTTCCTGCCTTTGTGGACTGTACCTTTGGTAGGGAAGGAGAAGAATGGGCTTTCCAGCGGGACACCAAGTCAGGTGCGTTACGGGGGCTTCTCTATCCGTCAGGTCTCTGTGACCAGCCTCATTAACTTAAAGGAATTGAAGTCTTTCCGGACGCTGCGAGCACTGAGGCCTCTTCGTGCGCTGTCCCAGTTTGAAGGAATGAAGGTACATTCTGCAGAAGGATGGGTGGAAGTTCCGTTAACAGGGAAAGATGGAGAGACCAGCTGCTTTTTTTGAGCTGAGATTTCTTTAAATTGCTGACCTTTTCCTGGGTTGCTTCCCAGCCTGACCAGTGCTTAGACTCTGAGAGGTAGAGAAAAGCCTAAGATACACATTCGACCCTAAAAGCTTCTGTGACAGCCGAGATGAGCTCTGACTCCCCTTCAGAGCGCTGGGGTAGGTGTTCTTAAGTCTCTAACACTGTCATCACTGGGCACTTCTCAAGGTATCCTCAGTGGTAACAGAGAGGACCCATTATATAGGGAGCTGAGTGCAGGGCTGGCCATGGGGGTGGGGTGCAGGTACGTGGAGATTAAGAGGTTCAGCCCTGCACATCAGGCAGCCCATCCCAACAAGTCGAGCCACATGCATCCTACCCATCTGTTACGGTTTTCTTTGCTTCTGTTTCCATAAGGTGGTGGTCAATGCTCTCATAGGTGCCATACCTGCCATTCTGAATGTTTTGCTTGTCTGCCTCATTTTCTGGCTCATATTTTGTATCCTGGGAGTATACTTCTTTTCTGGAAAATTTTGGAGATGCATTAATGGAACAGACTCAGTTATAAATTATACCATAGTACCAAATAAAAATCAATGCGAAAGTGGCAATTTCTCTTGGCTCAACCAGAAAGTCAACTTCGACGATGTGGGAAATGCTTACCTCGCTCTGCTGCAAGTGGTAAGTACAGTCAGTATGTTTTTCACTCTGAGGAGAAAAAACTTCAGAGAATCACATGTTGTTTCTCAGCTAATAAAAATGCAGTGACTCCATTGTGGTAATAGAAGCACATCCTGATTCCTCATATGGAAGCCAGTGCCTTCTGGAATGGTCCTCTCCTGAGCATCTGCAACTTCATTGACTACTGAGCCTCAGCTTCCTAGCGATGCCCCTTTAAGGATCTGTACATCCCATCTTGTCCTGTATGGCACCTTGCTGGCTCTCCACAGCTCCAGGCAGAGAGGAGTGGAGCCTCAGGTATAGGTCATGACACTTTGAACAGTTCCTTGTTTAAACCACAGATGCCAGGTCTCGAACAGGCAGTGCAAATAGATACGGCATCAGAAAAGAACCCATGGCCAGGCTCTTCTCAGCACTTGGGCCAGCCTCAGCTTCTTCCGTAACTTTTAAGGTGGAAACTTCTTGTTTTTAAATTTTGTAACTTATACAAATGAAGAAGAAGAAAAAATTCAAGACACATATCCTTGAATTCCCTTCTACTGTTCTTTTGAGCATTCTGCCCTAGAAGGTTGGGGTATCATATATTCAGCCCAGTGGGCCTCACCTGCTTTTCCATGCCATGTATCTGTCAATGGCAAGTCTACACTTGCATTATTCATGTTTTTCTGCTTTTGTTGCAGGCAACATTTAAGGGCTGGATGGACATTATACGTGCAGCTGTTGATTCCAGAGGCGTGAGTCTGTGTTCTACCTTGTTCCGGAGTGTTAGGGTCAAGTCAGAGATATCATGACCACATGGACAGTCCAGAACTTCTGGCATCACAGTGCTAGCAGCCAGGTTTCTCTGCCTTGTTTCGTTTGGAACAAAACACTATGAAATACCACTGCCTGATACAAAGGGTTCTTATGCATCCTCTAATGAGTATCTGACACCCCAGTATTCTCTAAAGTCCAGTCCTCTTTCCCCATGGTGGCCAAGGAAAAACCACTCATGTAGGAGGTGGAGCTAGAAGTGGCAGAATCACAGGATGCTTTGATTTTCCTCTTACCTCTTCTCCAAATGCGTGGACAGGCAGAAACCAAATTCAACAGGTACCTGTCTTAGACTGTGGGAAACCTTAAGACTGCTCTAGATTTGCAAGGGAGAGCCTCCCATGACTCCATTCTCTTTAGGGATGGCCAACTGTTGAATTCTAGTTAAAGAAAATATAATCATGGATTCCCAAAGTTGGACATGTACTGAGTAATCTAGCCTAGTTTCTATTTTCCAGCTTGGAAAGTTGAGGGATAAAAAGAAAGAGTCGCCCAAAGACGCAGAGTGAGTAGATGGTTGACTCAAGAATTGAGTCAATGGCAGAAATTGCTGTTTTCTATTACAGCACATGTGTGTGTCTTGATGTATTTGGGAGTCTGCAGAGTTGATGCCTAACACATAGACAGTATTCAGTACCTTTGAGCTGGTACAGACTGAGTATCCCTTATCTGAAATGCTTGGGACCAGAAGTGTTTCAGATTTTGGATTTTGTAAGATCTGTGAATGTTTGCATAATACTTACAGTTGAGCATCCCCGGTCTGAAAATCCAAAATGCCAGCGTGAACATTTCCTTTGAGCATGACCTTTACGTGTTATGTCAGCACTCAAAAATCTTCAGATTTTGGAGCATCCGAGACTTTGGATTTTCAGATTAGGGATGCTCTAGCTGTAGTAACAGTGGAGGTGGTTTGAGTAGTGGTCTAGCAGCACCAAGGGATGAGAATTAATCTTTATGGCCATCCCAGTTCTCATTATAAATTCATAGATTGTCATTATACGTTAATATACAGATGGTACATAGCAAAAAATCTGAGTTTGCTTACTTCTGGGTGTGTTAATAAAATCAGCTTTCTGGAAAGGCGAAGCCAACAGTAGATACTTAACTGTTTATAACAATTGTAGTTTGCATTGTAATATTTATATATACAATGTGATTTTATAGTTACATACACAACATAATTTTACAATTACAATTTATAGCAAAGGCACTGTCAAAAAATACCAATGTACTCATTTCTTTTGTCTTTTTGAGTACGTGACCTTCACTCTAGTTTGCCTTTGACAGTCATCTGCCCTGAGGTGGAGATGGGGAGTGGGGAGGAAAGCTTTTGCAGACTTGCAGTAGACAGGGTGTGTGGCTTGCAAATGCTCCCAGAGTGAGGGATCGGTGGGTGGAAGTGTGTGGAGGGGTGCCTGGTTTTGATGCCAGTCCTGATATGTACTGGTTGTTGTATGCTGGCTTCTAGCTTCATGACTCTTGCTATGTAGTCACCGAGCACCCTGCTGGCCTCAAATAATAAAGTGGTGGTTGGTGAAACTGTGGGCATTCTCCCCATCATCTCCTCCTGGCCCTCAATACTGGTTCTCTGCCATATCCTCCACATGCTCCCTGGCAGTCTACTCCCATCCCTTGCTACAAGGCCCAACATGACAGGTCCATGGCTGTCAACTCCATGTCCAAGCCACATGAGAACTGAGAGGTTTAAGAGACTTCTTTCTGTTCAATTATGTTACTCTAATCTCTTAAGTCAGCCTGCCTGCCAAATATATATCTCAGGCCTTCCCATTAGTAATTTCTTTCCAGAAAAATATGGAAATAAAGCAAGAATACCCTCCTTGACTTCCATGTTTCCCTCAATTTACTGGATCCCAACCCCCTCTCCATACCCAGAGAGGGATAATCAGGACATACATCTTGTAGCTCTGTTTTTCTGTCTCTGTTTCTTTTTCCTACATTTTCCTATGGAAAAATTGGGTGAGCTTTGATCATTTGACCTTCTTGTCTATGCCTCCCTCCAAGAAAATGCTTCACCTTCAAATGCTTGATATAACAAAGAGAGACATGAAGGAGTGTAGACATTCCTATATCTCAAAGCAATAACCTAACTTGCAAGACTGTTAGCCCACTTAGAAATTTTATTTTTAATGTCCACTGCTGAATATTCTTTCCATTACATTGTTTCTGGACGAATATCTACCTTTTGTTCAAATAAATGGATGCCTCAAGCAAACCCGGACTAAGGGTCAGATAGTCTTCATAGCAAAAGAAAAAAATAATATTTTCAAATAATTACCTTCATGACACCAGTCTACATTGTGAATGTTGAATAACAGATATCTTAAATACATTCAACATTAATCAGAGCTATCAACACTTATATCTTTGATGTGCTAGAGGGAAAAAAGTGAAATCCTTCTGCTACCTGCCTGAAAGTGCTTGAAGCCAATAACAAGGCAAAGAACTTGGATGAAAGGGATCTCAGGTGATTTTCGCCATACCTTGGACTGGGAGAGCTTGCTTGGAGTCAATTTGTGTCCATTTTAGAGCGTGATCATTCATTCATTCATTTAGATATTTATTCCTTGTGTATAAAAAATCTACATGTCAGAAAGCATGCTAGGCACTAGGAAGTTAAGAGTGAAAGGATGTAAGCACAGATTAAATAAAACAGTGGGCTCTAGATGGGGGACGTAGTAGTTCAGCAACAGTTGGTAGTTTAGCCACCTCTGCCCGAGGTGAACGTGCCCCTCCTCTGGTGGCCTCACCTCCAATCAGGTTCCTCCAATTACATATCCATATGGACACTCCATATGGATGACTTTTAAAAAGACAAATGTTATCATGCCACTCCTCTCTCTACGATCCCTCAATTATTCTCCTTTGCCTAGAAGAAAAAGCCTAGTTTTCCACCACTCCAGGTCCCCGCCACGTGCCATCACTCAAGCTGAGCTGGGAAAACTGAAAGAAGGGCTCCCAGCGGGGGCCACGGCTGTGAGGAAGAGGCTATGTAGTCGATGTGGCTGTGAAGAAACACCTTGGTCTTCTAGATGAGGCAGTCAGAGGCCATGTAGTCGATGTGGCTGTGAAGAAACACCTTGGTATTCTAGATGAGGCAGTCAGAGGCCATGTAGTCGATGTGGCTGTGAAGAAACACCTTGGTCTTCTAGATGAGGCAGTCAGAATGCTTATGTTTTTCTCCAGTAATTGTTTTCTTCTCTTATTAAAAACAATTTCTCCCAGAAAGAACAGCAGCCAGCGTTTGAGAGCAGTTCGCTCAGTTACCTTTACTTCGTGGTCTTCATCATCTTCGGCTCATTCTTCACCCTGAATCTTTTCATCGGTGTCATTATTGACAACTTCAACCAACAGCAGAAAAAGATAAGTATGTGGGGTGTCTTCATTCGGAAATTTCATCTCTGTCCTCCAAAGGCATTAATAAAACACAGTTCTGGTTGAGAATATTAAAGTAGCCTTTATGATCTGCACCATAACAAAGAGGAAGCTTCCCGTGTCTGCCTGGAGATAATTCTTAAAGATGAGGCTGAAAGAAGACTGAAAACATCTGGATTTCATTAAGTCGTTGCTTTTATTCTTTTTTACCTTCTTAATCAATGGACATTGTTACTATTGAGATTAAGCCCATTAATAATTGAACCCTAATAGAACAACAACCAAGGATTACTATGTATTAAATATGATGCTACAGTCATATTTTAATAACCTTTCAAATGCACTTTGTTATCCACTATAAAAATAATGTACTCTCCTTTTTCAGCAAATGTGTCCTGGCCCCCAGCATCAAGCCTCAGCAGATCTATCCATCCTACTTGGAAAGAAGATGATTGGGGAAGAGGCAGGGCTAGGGAGGTTTTTTACTCATGCCTGTGATAAACACATATTTATTTTGCTGATTCTAAAATCCACAGGAGATTTGTAGTGAATGTGGAAAATTAAGGAAGATAAAATGAAAATTTAAATCACCCTAAGGTGGCCAGCAAATGATAACCACTTTAGACAGTGCCTTTTATAATTTTGGTATAATCCATTCTAGTCACTTTGTATTACTTTTACACAGAATTAGTTTATATTTTAAATTTTGTAGTTCTGACCTCATTAGTTATAAGTTTATGTCATAAAATTGCCTTTGCTATAAGAATTCTCAGAACCCCTTGCCAGACATGGTGGCTCATGCCTGTAATCCCAGAACTTTGGGAGGCTAAGGCGGGCAGATCACTTCAGGTCAGGAGTTCAAGACCAACCTGGCCAACAGGGTGAAACCCAGTCTCTACTAAAAATACAAAAAATTTAGCCAGGTGTGGTGGTGCACGCCTGTAATCCCAGCTACTCAGGAGGCTGAGGCAGGAGAATCGCTTGAACCTGGGAGGTGGAGGTTGCAGTAAGCTAAGATCACACCACTGCACTCCAGACTGGGCAGCAGAGTGAGACTCCATCTCAAAAAAAAAAAAAAAAAAAAAAAAGAATTCTCAGGGCTGAATTACATTGCATATTATGGATCAACTATAATTTATCTTGATCGTTCCTCTCTTTCTTGGACATTTATAGGTTGTTCTAAAATTTTTTGCTCTTCTAAAACAATTATGACCATTTACAAAATTCTGTGTATCTCTATTTCTTCACCATAAATTCCTAGAATTAGAATATTGAAGACATATTGTCAAAATCCCTTCCAGAAGTGCTGTGCTAGGTACTCTTATTCTGCAGAATATGAAATTGCATGGTTAAAGAGATCTCATTGTTCTAATTGTCTACTTTATTATCTTTTTTAGACTGATGGGAAAAGTGTTATCTTGTTGTTTTATATTTATTTATTTGATCATTAGTGAGGTTACACACTTTTTCGCAGGTTGATAGCCACAAGTAGTATTTCTCCCTTAAGAGTTACTTCTTTATATCATTTGTCTATTTTTTTTTTTTTTTTTTTTTTTTGAGACAGAGTCTCGCTCCCTCACCAGGCGCCAGGCTGGAGTGCAGTGGCACGATCTCGGCTCACTGCAACTTCTGCCTCCCAGGTTCAAACAATTCTCCTGCCTCAGCCTCCCAAGTAGCTGGGACTACAGGCACACACCACCACGCCCAGCTAATTTTTGTATTTTTAGTAGAGACGGGGTCTCACCATGTTGGCCAGGATGGTCTCGATCTCTTGACCTTGTGATCCGCCCTCCTTGGCCTCCCAAAGTGCTGGGATTACAGGCCTGAGCAACCGCGCCCAGCCTCATTTATCTATTTGTAAGACTGAGATTGCCATCTTTTTGTATGCATTTCTGTATAATAAGTCCAATTTGTGACGTGCTTCTTATGTTTTTGCGATTACATATTTAACTTAGAGACATTAGTAGTTTTTGGAGTCAATCTTCTCACTATTGGCTTTTTAAAATAAAAATTGTATTTATGAACTGAACACATTTCTCATCCCCAAATCAAATAACTAAATATTCTCCTTTGGTTTCCTACTTGTTTTATGACGCAGTTTCTTTTTTCCTCTGGGTTCTCATAATTCATCTAAAATGTACCTTGATACCAACTAGCCCTCTCAGCGTCTGCTGGGAAAGTTGTTTCCTGCTGTTACACAACTGTACTGCTTCTGCTACTCAGGAGTGCGTGATGTAGCGTCCCCTCCGTGATATGTACCTTGATTGCAATCAATACCTGCAATTTGGACGTCAGCCTTTGTGATTTTAGATTTAAGTTTACATTAGAAATCATTGTTTTGATCAATCCACTACATCCTTTTGTTTGTCTCGTTTTACTTTTTATTACAGAAAATCTCAAACGTGCGCAAGAGTGTACTAGAACTAACCTAAAATGCCCATCAGCCAGCACAACATTTATTGACTTAAGAATATGCTTGTTCTAATCCATGTCTGCCCTTATTCAACTGTGCCACCAGATTTTCTTATGGAGCAAACCATAGACATCACATCATTTTGTTCACAAATATTTTAGAACATATCTCTTTTTAAACACAATCACAATTCCATTAGCACACCAAAACATTTAATGTGAATTCTTTAATCAGATACCCAGTTTATTTCCAAATTTCTCTGAGCCTTTTATTTAAAAGAAAAATGTTTATTTATAAGTCTTGTGTTTCGTTTGTTTGTTACTGTTGAAGATCCTTGTTTGCTTGCTTGCTTGTTTTCAAATTAGGGTTCGAATGCATAAGATCTTCCCATTGGACAACTTTCTTGTTCTCTGAAATGCCAAGATGTTCCAAGTTTAGGTTGCTCCCTTCCTGCCCTAGATCTGGAATCAGCCATTTCTCTAAAAGCATTTGTTTCTTTGTGGGAAATGGTTTCCAAAACTACAGTCTGGGATGCTCATTGTCATTGCTTCTAAGCCTTTCAAGTGGACAGAGTTACTTAAAACTCAGGACTACAAGGAAATATGTAAGTGGAAATATGCATACTGACAACTCAAATTCAGGACTACAGCGTTTTCACTTAACCCCTGCCTCACTCATCTGTATCTCCTCTTTTCCACACTGAGAAACCTTGCTTTCAAAGGCACAGATGAGAGAATTTATTTCCACAATTACCCATTTCCTCTATCTCACAACCCACACACATGCATTACAATCTCAGAATGGAAGCATTAATACTATTATGACATATGTGATTACTAAAAGACTAATTTCTTCCCAGCATCTCAGAACAGCTTGATTAATTTTTAGATTGACTTCTAGGGCTATATATTTTTGATCTGTGCTGGTGGAGTAAAGTCAAACCCCAAACCCTCATCAAAATAAGTCTGGAGTCACAAATTATCAGAGAAGACTGGGTTTTTACTCATAGTCTGGATGGAGACAATTTTCTAGTTGCCTTCCATTGCCAGCAAACAGATCCTGTTTTTTTTACCCTTCTGTTGGCCCCTTTGGATAGTCCCATACTCTTGCAAGGACATCTGTGGCTCCCCTGCCTTTGCATAGGCCTTGTTTCCTATTACCCGCTTACGTTTGCTGAGATTTTAGTTTACAGAGATTAGTAAATGTCCTAGAACCAGCCATGGCTTTGGGTTAATTTACTAGTCTATCTTTTTGTTCTTTCAATTTTCAGACTCCCAATCTTTTTCTTACTTTTATGCAAGTTCAGCCATACATTTTTTAAAAATTCCATTCTACCTTATTTAGTCTTTCTAGATATTTTGCCCCCAAATTTCCAGATATGAGAATCCTAGTTCATTTTTCTATTCTTTCTTGCTCAGTAGTGAAAATAGAACTTTTTTTCCCCTGAAAGTGGCTCTGAACAGATTTCATGCAGCTTTATTAGTAGTTTCATGTGTATTCATTATTTAAGAGATATTCAATTGTCCTTTATGAGATTTTTATCTAAATTTTTGTTACTACTTTCTATTTTTTGTTGCATTGTGATTTGGTTTATCCAAGCTGAAATATATCAAATTTTTGTAAAGATTCTGTGTGCATTTGCAAAGATATGTAATCCTTCTGTTTTAAAAATTGAAAAATAACTGATAAAGATAACCTTGTTTCTCCTGTATACCTTAACTTAAATCTTGTTTCTTTGCAGCATTTCCCTAGGGTCCAGCCTCTTAAGTTTACCATTGGAATTTTAGGAATTATTAATAGAAATGTAATGTAACTTTAAAATTGCATCAAAAAATTCAAAACTAGATTCCCAAAAATCTGTTAAAGGTAATTAGCTCTTATCTTCTCCATATACTTAGGTGGCCAAGACATTTTTATGACAGAAGAACAGAAGAAATACTATAATGCAATGAAAAAATTAGGATCCAAAAAACCTCTAAAACCCATTCCACGGCCTCTGGTGAGAGCAATTTAATGACTGTAAATATGTAGAACAGTTGAGTTATTGTGAGGAATTCAAATTTCTACAATACCGTCATTTTTATTTTTAAAATATGCAGAAATTAAGGACTCAACAAAAGCCAAGACATATCCAAACACTTGGGAAAATTAGATATTCAAGTTCAAAAGTAAGATCTTGGACAACAACTTAAATTTATTTTTTAGTGAGCCAGGAAGTATGTGCTTAGTAAGTACTTACTGCAATCATATGAACTTAATGGTTTGTTTGAACTTAATTTTGACCAGTTTTATTTCATTTTATTTCAATAGTTTTTGGGGAGCAGGCAGTTTTTTATTCCAAGCATAGGTTCTTTAGTGCTTTCTGAGATTTTGGTGCACCTGTCATCCAAGCAGTGTACACTGTACCCAATGTGTAGTCTTGTATCTCTCACTCTCCTCCCACCTATCCCCTTGATTCCCCAAAATCCATTATATTATTCTTATGCCTTTATGTTCCACTTAAAAGTGAGAACATACAATACTTGATTTTCCATTCCTGAGTTACTTCACTTAGAATAAAGGTCTCCAACTCCATCCAGATTGTTGCAAATGCCATTATTTCATTCCTTTTTATGACTGAATAGTATTCCATGGTGTAGATGTACCACATTTTCTTTATCTATTCTTTGGTTGGTAGGTATTTAGGTTGGTTCCATATTTTTGCCATTGCAAATTGTGCTTCTACAAACATGTGGTGTGTAAGTGTCTTTTTCATATAGTACCTTATTTTCCTTAGGATAGATACCTAGTAGTGAGATTGCTGAATCAAATAGTAGTTCTACTTTTGCATCTTTACGGAATTTCCATATTGGTTGTCATAGTGATTATACTAGTTTACATCCCCACCAAGAGTGTAAAAGTTTTCCCTTTTCACCACATCCATGTCAACATCTATTATTTTTTGATTTTTAAATTATGACCATTCTTATAGGAGTAAGGTGGCATCTCATTGTGGTTTTAATTTGCATTTCCCTGATAATTAATGATATTGAGCACTTTTTTCTATGTTTCTTGGCCATTTGTAAATCTGCTTTTGAGAATGAATTGTTTGATCATGTCCTTTGCCCACTTTTGGATAGAATTGTTTTTGTGTTGATAATTTGTTTGAGTTTCTTATAGATTCTGGAAATTAGTGTTTTGTGGGATGCATAGTTTGTGAATATTTTCTCCCACTTGGTGGGTTGTCTCTTTACCCTACTGATTATTTCTTTTGCTGTGCAGAAGCTTTTTAGCTTAATTAGGTCTCATTTATTTATTTCTGTTTTTGTTGCATTTGCTTTTGCATTATTGGTCATGAATTCTTTGCCTAAGCCAATATATAGAAGAGTTTTCTTGATGTTATATTCTAGAATTTATATAGTTTCAGGTCATAGAGTTAAGTCTGATTCATCTTGAGTTGATTTTTGTACCAGATGAGAGATGAGGATCTAGCTTCATTCTTCTACGTGCGAATTGCCAATTATCCCAGCACAATTTGTTGAATAGGGTGCACTTTCCCCAATTTATGTTTTTGTTTGCTTTGTTGAAGATTAATTGGCTGTAATTATTTGGCTTTATTTCTGGGTCTCTATTCTATTCCATTGGTCTACATGCCTGTTTTATACCAGCACCACCCTGTTTCAGTAACTATAGTCTTATAGTATAGTTTAAGTCAGGTAATGTGATGCCTCCAGATTTGTTGTTTTGCTTAGTCTTGCTTTCACTATGCAGGCTCTTTTTTGGTTCCGTATGAATTTTAAGATTTTTTTTCCCTAGACCCGTGAAGGATGTTGGTGGCATTTTTATGGGAATTGCATTGAATTTGTAGATTGTTTTTGACAGTACAGTCATTTTCACAATGTTAATTTTACCCATCCATGAGCAGGGGATTGTTTCCATTTGTTTGTGTCACTAATGATTTCTTTTAGCAGTGTTTTGTTTTCCTTGTAGAGATCTTTCATCTCCTTGGTTAGGTATATTTTATTTTATTTTTTCTGCAGCGGTTGTAAGATGAGTTCTCGGTTTGTTTCTCAGCTTGGTGGTTGTTGGTGTATAGCAGTGCTACTAATTTATGTACATTGATTTTGAGTCCTGAAACTTTACTGAATTCATTTTTCAGATCTGGGAGTTTTTGGATGAGTCTTTAGGGCTTTCTAAGTATATTATCATATCATCAGCCAATAGCAATAGTTTGACTTCCTCTTTTCCAATTTGAATGCCCCTTATTTCTTTCTCTTATCTGATTCGGCTAGGACTTTCAGTGCTATGTTGAATAGAAGTGGTGAAAGTGAGCATCCTTGTCTTGTCCCAGTTGTCATGGGGAATGCTTTCAACCATTACCTGTTTAGTATGATGTTGGCTGTTGGCTTGTCATTTATCAGCTTGAGTTAATGTTCCTTTTATGCCAGTTTTGCTGAGGCTTTTTATCATAAAGAGATGCTGAAATCTGTCCAATGCTTTATCTGTGCCTATTCGGTGATCATAAAATTTTTGTTTTTAATTCTGTTTATGTGGTGTATCACATTTATTGGCTTGCATGTGTTAAACCATTCCTACATTCCTGGCATAAAACTCATTGGATCATGGTGGATTATCTTTTTGATATGCTGTTGGATTTAGTTAGCTAGTATTTTTTGAGGATTTTTGCACCTATCGTCATCAGGAATATTGGCCTGTGGTTTTATTTTTTGATGTGTCCTTTCCTGGTTTTGGTATTAGGGTGACACTGGCTTCATAGAATGATTTAGAGAAGATTCACTCTTTCTCTATCTTATAGTGTCAGTGTAACCACCCAGTGGGTTCACCTTGCCTGCTGTCTAGACAGAGCTAATTTATCAAGACAGGGGAATTGCAATGGAGAAAGAGTAATTCACGCAGAACTGGCTGGGAGGTGGGAGTTTTATTATTACTCAGATCAGTCTCCCTGAACATTCAGGGATCAGGGTTTTTAAAGATAATTTGGTGAGTAGAGGCTAGGGAAATGGGGAGTGCTAATTGTTCAGGATGGATGTGGAGTCATAGGGGGTTACAATGAGGTTTTCTTGCTGTCTTCTGTTCCTGGGTAGGATGGCAGAACTGGTTAGGGGTCTGGGTGGTGTCAGCTGATCCATTCAGCACAGAGTCTGCAAAATATCTCAAGCACAGATCTTAGGTTTTACAATACTGATGTTATCCCCAGGAGCCATTTGAGGAGATTCAAACTCTTGGAGCCCAGAGGCTGCATGACCCCTAAACCCTAATTTCTAAAATTGTAGCTCATTTATTAGTCCTGCAAAGGCAGACTGGTCCCCAGGCAAGAGGAGAGGTCTTTTGGGGAAAGATCTGTTATCAATTTTGTTTCAGAGTCAGACCATGAACTGGATTCTTTCCATAAGTTAGTTCAGCCTATGCCCAGAAATGAATAAGGACAGCTTAAAGGTTAGAAGCAAGATGGAGTCCTTTAGGTCTGACCTCTTTCAGTGTCATAATTTCCTCAGTTATGATTTTGCCAATGCTGTTTCATCAGTAGGATTGGTACCAATTCTTCTTTAAGTGTCTGATAGAATTCAGATGTTAATCCATCTGGTCTTGGACTTTTTTGGTTGGCAATTTTTAAAAATTACTGTTACAATCTTGCTACTTTTTATTGGTCTGTTCAGAGTTTCTGTTTCTTCTTGATTTAATCTAGGATAGTTGTATATTTCCAGGAATTCATCAATTTCCTCTGGATTTTCTAATTTGTGCATGTATATATTCATAGTAGCCTTGAATGATCTTTTGTATTTCTGTGGGATCAGTTTTAATATCTCCTGTGTCATTTTTAATCGAGCTTATTTGGATCTTCTCTCTGCTTTTCTTGCTTAATCTAATGCATAGTCTGTCATTTTTATCTTTTCAAAGAATCAGCTTTTTGTTTCAATTTCATTTAGTTCTTCTCCGATCCTTGTTATTTCTTTTCTTCTGCTGGGTTTGGGTTTGCATTTGGCTTGCTTTTGTTTCTCTAGTTCCTTGAGGTCTGATTTTAGATTGTCTGTGAGTGCTCTTTCACACATGGTGATGTAGGCATTTAATGCTGAAAACTTTCCTCTTACCACCACTTTTGCTGTATCTCAGTGGTTTTCATAAGTTGTGTCATTATTATTCAGCTCAAAGAATTTTTAAATTTCCTTCTTGATTTTATTGTTCACCTAAAGATCATTCAAGAGCAGATTATTTAATATCCATGTATTTGTACAGTTTTGAAGGTTCCTTTTGGAGTTAACTTCTGGTTTTATTTCACTGTAGTCTGAGAGGATTCTTGGTATGATTTTGATTTTCTTTTCTTTTCTTTTTTTTTTTTTTTGAGACGGAGTTTTGCTCTTGTTACCCAGGCTGGAGTGCAATGGTATGATCTTGGCTCACCGCAACCTCCGCCTCCTGAGAACAGGCAATTCTCCTGCCTCAGCCTTCTGAGTAGCTGGGATTACGATTTATTAAGACTTGTTTTGTGATCTATAATATGGTTTATCTTGGAAACTGCTCCATGTGCTGATGAAAAGAATGTGTATTCTGCAGTTGTCGGGTAAAATGTTCTGTAACTGTCTGTGAAGTCCATTTGTTCTAGGGTACAGTTTAAGTCCATTGTTTCTTTGTTTAAGTTCTGTCTTGATGATCTGTCTAGTGCTGTCAGTGGAGTACTGAAGTCTCCCACTATTATTGTGTTGCCTGGTAGTAATTGTTTTATGAATTTGGGAGCTAATAATGGGTGCATATATATTTAGGATTGTGGTGTTTTCCTGTTGGACTAATCGTTTTAGCATTATATAATGTCCCTCTTAGTCTTTTTTAACTGTTGTTACTTTAAAGTCTGTTTTGCCTGATATAACAGACTTGTTATATCAAGTACTTGCTGACTTTTCATTTCCATTTGTATGGAATATTTTTTTCTACCCTTTACCTTATGTTTATATGAGTTCTTATGTGTTAAATGAGTCTCTTGAAGACAGTAAATGCTTGGTTTGT